AATTCGAATGATTATTTTCTCATAACAATATTTCTTTAATGAATTTTGTTGTTGTGTCATCCTTTCATTAAAATACTTGACAGATTTCTCGACAGTACGAGAGAATAGATTAAAAGGACTCTCACAAGTCGCAACATTAAGAGAATAATGTCTACAATGGAAATCTGCATGAATATATGTACAGACAATTTGTCAAAATCTTAACTCCTATTCTAAAGTAAAATCATCTAAATTAACGTTTATAATTAATTAATACTTATTAACTATAATAAACAAATAACCACCCTAAGTTTCTAATTTAACAAAAATATAACTTCTTAACTTGATAACAAGAGCTAATAATTGAAATAAATACTTTTTTCCATATAGAATAGATAATAAAAAACATTGATTTTCTTATACAAAGTTGGAACTTTGACATAACGAAAAAAATATAGAAAACTGCTACGCTTGAAGACGTGAAAGAGTACTAAAACCCGCTTTACGATCGACAAAACCCAGGTGAAACCGAGACCTGATGGTGGTAAACGGAAATAGAAGAGAGTAATGGAGAATAGTAAGTGCGAGAAACGGGAGTAGGCAAAGAAGATAAAATTCCTAGTGGAAACCATGCGCTTACTATATACGACGTATAACTTTTCAAGATGTATTCTTGAGAAATCACCTTACTTTCTTCGAGATATCGGCATGCTATACAAGTACTTAAGGTTTAATTAAACAACAAATAAGTTCTTACGAAAGATCATAAAGTAGCCGAGATGAACTCCTATTACAGCGCATGTTTACCTTTCAATAACAGTAAACTTATCATGTATTCTTTAAGCCACAAAAAAAATGTATAAAACCTTATACTTGAAAGGCTGAAGTAACGACTTTATAAATAATTCAAACTATAGTTGTTTTACTTGATCAAATATTTTTTACAACTTCCTTTATTTCTATTTAATTTATCTTATAATATCAGACTAGTTATCGTGTGAAAGTATTAAAATAGGAAAACCGGAGGATATGGAAACTTGAATTGAACGTGACCAAAATCAATCTGCCTCGATGTGGTTTAGTTTACACAAAGTTGGAGTTTGTAAAATTAACCTCTCGAAATCAATTCCAATTCTAAAAGTTCATGAACATATCCCCACAATATAAAATGCAGATTTTCTAATGGTCAACTTACAAGAAACTTTACATTTATTTAAGTGACTTTAAAATCAAAGTTTTCTTCACAGTCAATAAGTCTTATCGATACCAAAGGAATACTATACACACTTTCATGACTTGTATGTGTATAAACACGTGAAGAGAACAAAGAATGTATGCAAGCTGTGGAGAAGAGTTTGAAATGTCTAAATATGGTGAAACTGATTCAAGATTGTACTGTGACACCACAAAGAAATTGTACTCTTTCATAGCATACCTTGGCTTTGACAAACGTAGACGGTTCTTTTTATATACAGCCGCTACTTTTTCATCAGTTTCTTCCTTCTCGATTTAGCATTAGACCTTACAAGTCCAACAGATTCAATGGATTCTGTTAAAAAGTAGAGTCTTCTCGTCTATAAAAGAAAATATCTTTCATGTAAGGTAAATCTACACTTTCAAGAGAACCGGAAAATCGTATATATGAGTAGCTACAATTCATCTAAAATAATTTATCATCATTTTTGTAAACTCTTGTTCAATGTGAAAATAAAATAAAAAATATTCCATGAGTCATATGTGAAAATGATATAAATATTAAGTATATACTTTTCAACTGTATGCCATTTAAACTTCTTAAGCTCAACTATTTAATTGAAACTTAATTGAAAAAAAAATTGAATAAATAAAAAAGTATTAAAAGGTATGAAAGATAAATTAGTTCCCATGTGAGTATTCGAGAACTATTACAGAAGGGATGGATCGTCGTTTTAATTAAATCCATGCTCGACTGCCGATGGTCGAGGCTTGAAGAGCGACGAGTACCCCCGAAGGGAGTTTGTCATCTACCCGAAAACGGATTAACGCGACGTTGAGTAATTCTCTACACCCCAAGGGAGTGACTGTCCCAAAAGTGAAGGCACAATCCAACAAAATTATCCAATGTTCGCAAAAGTAAGTATATGTATACATATGTGTATATTGTACACTTTTATCAAATAATTACTCATAAAATTATCATACAAATATTTTGTAATTAAAGTAATAAATGATAAAGAGATATAAAAGGTCGAAAATTCTTTTAGAAATATGATGATGTTAGATTTAATAAAACAAATATTTCTCTTGAAATTTCATCAGAACTAAAAACTTTAGAGAGTAAAATATATGTAATAATAAAATTAGAGTATCCAGTATAAGTGAATATCTTAAAGGTTCAGTGCACAAATTAGCCACAATTTTAATTGAATCTCTCAGGTAAAGGGCGCTTAGAAATTGTCTATAGTGAAGCCTTCGGTCCCGTACGGTCCACGTATTCCGGAGTGGATCTCTATAAATCCTCTTCCGCTTCACCCGATTCTCTTTGCTCTCTTTTACGCTCTCGTAGTCTAGTTGAACGGATCTCCTTCTCTGGTCCCCACTTGCTTGCGGCTGCGAGGTTCCGGACTAGAATTTCCGGCTTAGCTTAAGAGCTAATAGCCAGACTCACTAGCCCCCTTTTTCACGCATCTTTCTCTCTTTCAATATAAAAGTCACTTGCTTGATTTCTTTTCAACTTCGATCGAGGTACTTTTTTCTCTCATGCTCATTTTTATCTATCTTATACCTAAAATAAAAGTAGCTTTAATATCTATCATTATATTGAATATGAAATAAAACTTTTAGTATTAAGAAAATGCATAAATAAATACCTGAAACTTGACAGAACAAAAGCTGATATGAAGTTTTAAACAGTTAGGCTGTGTAAAGTGCTTCAATCATGCTTCTACTGGCAGCTAAAACACTTAGAATATTCCAATGCATATGACGATCAATAAATTGACGCAATTCCTAGAAAGCCAGTCCGGTTAGGGATCCTTCTATATATCTGCTATCATCACTATTCTCCAGTCATTATCATGCTCATGCATGTTCTCTTCTGACTTTTTTTGTTGCCGTGCAGAACGACTACGGATATTTTTGTTTCTACTATCAAAGATAATCTAATATGATCCAGCGTCAATAGTTATGTCGATATTTCTTCAATTCTATCAGATAACTTGATTTTATCAGCAAAATCATGTAATGATGATGATATAATAAGGGCTAATTGAAGATTAAATACTTATGAAGAGTGAATTGTATTGTATTAAATCATACGAAAATTAGATAAATAAAGCCGCCAGAGAATGCAATTATGGCTGAAATACTAACAATGGTGTGATCATCTAAGTATAAATCATAGCAGGCGGTCAGGGCAACTTGGAGAAACAGAGAATGTATACTTTAATTATAATACTACCATAAACCGAGATCCTTGTCCCTGTCTGTTAGCTTTACATCGCGGAATTTAATTATTTCACTAACAGCTTGAGTTGCTATTTTACTTACTAAAATATTATGCTCCTTAATAAATTTTCAAAATTAAATATTATATTTTTTTAGTATTAATAATTAATAGAATAATGAAAAGTTTGTAATTAATTCTCATCATAAATCAATCCATTATAATGTATTCTTATCAATATGTAGAGAAAAAACTCAACATGTGATTCTAAAAAACGTTAAAAGTAAAAAAATTTTTCAGAAGTGTAATATAATTTTAAAACCCTTAAACATTCACTTGATAACATTTCAACCATATATTTGGATTCTATCTTTTGTATTCATTTCTCCGTTTGTCACTACCTTTCTTTTTATTTTCAAGAAAGAAGAATCAAGTTGTGCAAGTCTGATAGATAGAACAAAGTTGAAATAAGGTACTGTATAAGGTACAGAAAAAGACGAATAATAGAAAGAGAATACGATTACAATTGAATCGACATTCTATACTCACTTTGGTGGTTGGAGTATTTCATTTTACTTGCAGGATACGATACGTTTTATATTCATGATTCATTAAGATTTCGCGCCTGTTCATTTGGAAGAGAAACGACGGATTTGCAAATTTAATTGTTTTAGTTCAGTTGCGGTGAAATAAGATTCAAGAATTTTTAATCTTTATATATTTATTATTGAAAGCAGATGACAAACCCGTTGAATCATTCAAGTTAATATTTAATATGCAAATGAAAAATTAATTTTAAACTCAAATAAAAAATGAATAATTACTTAAATAATTATTTCTTCTTACTTATTTATTGAAAGTATTGTTTGGAGGAAGATCGTTACAATAAAATAGTGAAGAAAAAAAATGATGAAATGAAAAAAAGATTGTAAAAAACTAAAAAGACACTGAATTATAAAAAAAGAAGAAAATCTTGATTAAAGTGGGTACTCAGAGGTAAATTCGAAAAAAAGGAATCGCAAAAACATAGAGGAAAATTCCGAAAAATCCTTTAGTCGAGCCATTAATGGTGGTTTTTCTTAAATCTCTCAATCCTACCCTTCTACATCACTCATCGAGAATTCCAGCTAAACTTTGAGACAAGTACTTGATTTTCTATCGACATGATGATTTCAACAAGAGCTATTTAAAAAATTGGGATTTCAATCAATCGTCGAGAGTAAGTTTATGACACAATGAAGAGATTGGTAGAAAAAAAATTTAATAAAACTTACTTAATATGAACAACTCAAGTTCTTACCTCATCTACTTTGAACTTTGTCTCCTTAATCACTTTTCTCAAGCACACTTTATCATACTTGAATGATAGTATCATTTATTTCAATTTATTATTTAATCATTTAAATTGTGAAAATTATCATGTTATTGGGTATAATAAATATTTTGGAATAATTAAATTAAAAAATTATTCCCTCATAAAACTGTCATAAAATAAATCAAAAATTTCAAATGTTTTCTTTCGCCCGTCATAAAGTTTTCATTGAAGTAATTATTGTAATAAATAATAAACGGTTGTGAAATATAACAATTACAAGACTTTATGATCTAATTGTCATTTATTAAAATACAAATAAAATAGGTATTAATTACTTACACATCGATAACATTTATAACTATAATTTCAGTTCAATATTATTAATTAAATTTTTTAACTTCTATTGTATCTATTACCCCAGCCGCGTTTATGTGTATCTTTATATTCATCCATATCACGCATATGTGCAAGATACTCTTCATCATCTTTTTCAACCAATTCTTCTTTCTGGAGAACTTCAGGATCTTCTTCCAAAGTATCTTGATTATTTGCCATATCTTGAAGGCTCTTTTGTCCAACTGCAGTTTGTCCTGGACCACCAGGAGCCCATTCTCCATCAGCAACTTTTTTCTCATAAAATTCTTCAACGGTCATTACCGGTAAACTTGGATATCCAGCTCCAAATACTTCCTTTTGTGCTAAATTACGAGTAATAATTACTGACTGTAACTTAGGGGTTTTTACATCCTTCTTTTTATCTGATTTTTCTTCACGCTTCATTGCACTCATGTGTTTCAAAATTTTTCTTTCTTCATCAAGAGAAACAATATCTTCTATAGCTTGATAAATGTATAATTCAATAAGTGTTACAAAGTATTGCCTTTTTGTTTCATCATCGATATTTGGATTATTCATATTACTTTTAAGTGTCTCTAATTTTTCTTTTCAGTTGTTTTTGTTGTTTGTATCGTTGAATTTTATTTTTTCTTATGTTTACCATGTCTTCAATCATTTGCGTCTCAGATTTGGACGTGTTTTCTTCATTGTTTTCTTCTTTGTCATCGGAATCTCTTTTCTTCAGTGTTGGAATTTCAATATTTGTTATACCATAAGCTTTAACTCGTTCAAGAAAATCGTAAAAATAAACTTCAGCTACATCAACATAATGCAATCGGTTTTCTCGGTTACAAAGTTTTGTTGTTAAAGTTCCAAGTAATACAGGAAGAAGAAAATATTTCAAATTTTCTGTTGGAACTTCATCAAACTCTTCATTTGAACTGAACATGTCAGCTAATGAAACCAACTTTGTTGCATTTTCAAGCATACTCATACATTTTTTAATATCCACTTGTACTTTTAAACTGTTTGTTGGTTCATCTGTATTCATTATATCATTGTATAACTTGAAAGCTTTATCGTATAAATCAGATAAACTCTCAGTCATGTCATCATTTTCATTAGATGAAGCCATTTCAATGGTATTGTGATGTTTTTATTTATTTTTCACTGTTAATGATTGTTGATATTATACAATCTTTTAAATACCACCTTTTGTTTAAATTGTTCAATTATCAAGTTTATGGGATGTTTTTATGTATTTAATGCAAGTTTTGTGAAACGCAAAGAAATCAAACCATCACTAACCTCAAAACGCTGATGAACAATCAAGTAATCATGCACCAAACAGTTTATATCAAATAACGCCTCTTTTCCAGGTGAATATCATGAACTGACAAGCCCATTTAACAGTGATAAGAAAATGCATAACTTATCAATGTCTAAAAACGAAGAACTTTTTCACCGCTAACATGTACTGCGTACGAAACATCGCTAATCTAGAAAACTCTTCAACCAACAACAATAGTTCTTTTATTTGATACTCAAAGCGCTTGAGTACCTCAAAATATAATGCGCAAAAATTCAAATCGAGGAACAAATTTTCTTTTTTATTGAAATTTTCTATAAATAAATTTTGACTTAATAGTTTAATAAAATATAAATATTAAAAAAATTGAATCACGTCAACTTCAAACGCTCAATGTAAATTTTTAATTGTTGTTGTTGGTGTACATATACATATATAAGACTTTATCATTGTTGTTCATGACGTCACAGTCCAACTTCTTTCTAACCTATATGCACCCAAATTGAGTGCACATAGGTAATTATAAAAAAATTAAATTAACAATTGTTATTAAATAATTATTGGCATTTCGTTATTGATATTACATAAAGAAAAAAATGGTTGTAACTAATAAAACTGCTATACCTACTGAAGAAGAATTAACCGTTCAAGAAATAAATTTATCGTGGCCAATTCTTCATGCAGCATCTTTTTATGTAGGAAAATATTGTGAACCTTACAATAATGTAAGAATTTTCTTTTTAATTACAATTAATTTGATTCAAAAATTATAAGCAAAGAAATGAAACAGTTAATTCGTAAAGCTATGGTAGAATGGACAATTCTAATAATCTTGCCTCTTATATAATCAAAATGTTGTCTTGTCAGTAAACTGCAAATTTAGAATAAGTACTGTCAAGTTGAATCTTATTATTTTTACTGATTCCATTATAATGACAATAATTATAAGTAATATTACAGCAAAGATACTTACTATTTTTCATACATTTTTTTTAGGAATTTCTTCTATGTCAAAAGGAAGAAAAAGATGCTACTAAATGTGTAAATGAAGGAAAAGCAGTCACTGGATGCGCTTTAGAATTTTTTCGCAAGCTCAAAAAACACTGTCGCCAAGAATTTGATCAATATTATAATTGTCTTTATAAATCGAGTTATGACCTTTCATTTAATCAGTAACTATTTTAAATTAAAATTATAGTGATTGAACAAAAGTTCAATTCAAAAAAAAATTGCAAAATGATTGTATAAAAATTTATCTTAACTGATATAAAAATTCGTTTTAGCTGCCGTAATACGCAAGAAGTATTAGATAAATGTGTTTTGGAGCATATGAATGTAGAACGTCCACCATTCGGATATTTCTGTGAAGTAAAGGTACACGAAACAACAAGACCAAAGCCTGTAGAAAAAATACCAGAATATCCAACAGTGCCGTCTCTTCCTCCAGATGCACCTAAACCACCAGCCAGATTTGAAGGCCGATGGATGGTGTAAATCTTATGGATTAAAATCGATATTAAATTTGAATAATCTTCAAATTGTTAGTCCTTGTACGTACTGGTTTGTACACAATAAACTCTTATAGATAAAATGAATATTTATAGAAACTAGTTTATTATCTTAATTATAAAATTAATTCAATTATATATCAGTAAAATCAAATTATTAAATTACTTTCACGCATTTTCAGGAAGATATTATTTTAATGTATAATACAATAAAATATTCTTTAAAAATAATTCTAACGAGACTGCTTGTTTTTTATTACAATATTTAACCACATAAATTATGTAGGTTATATAAAATATGAAGAGTTTAATGATAGTTCTGAAACATTATTTATTTATTTTGTACGTTTAAAACATATAATATATAATTTCAAAAACATTATTCACAATAACTCCTATGAATGTATTCTTCAACAATTATTAAGTTCAATTACAATAATTGTAATAATTACTTTACAATTTTTATAAATATCCTTTATAGGAAATGACATTTATTTGATTGCAATTAATTTTTATTCAAGAAAAACTCAATGAAGTACTAAAATTTACACGTACAGTAAATTTTATTGGAATCTACTTATTCATTATTTTTTTTTTGTTATGAAAAATTGTCTCCCATATTATTTTTTTTAACTTTCTATTAATTTTCTGTGCTTCAATGTATTTACACAATAAAAATATATAATAAATAAAAAAAATGAATGAATCATTTTTAAGTTTTTTCAACGCGAAGATTAATTATTACACAATGAATAATTAACTTTGTCAAATGCATCTTAGTATCATATTTCTGTTTTTTGTTTGTCACTAATTGGGAGGTAGTTTAGATCACAGCAAAGTTTTTCCTTTGGCTTTTGAATAGGACATTAAATGTGGAAAACTTTGCTAGGATTAATTGATTGCAAATAATGATTATTTTTGTCATTTAACATGTCTTAGTCTCTTTTTAAATTATTATTTTGATGTTTAAATTTATTATCTACTACTTTCTATAAAATAAAATAATTATAATTAATAGAATATAGAAAGGACCAGTCTTTCTTCCTCAAACATTCTCTAAATCTAAAGTACACATTTCTTTTGGAAGAAATCTTAGATTAAATTCTTTACAGACTATGACGTTATTTTATGTAGCAAAAAAGAAGATTAAAAAATGTACACTTCGAAACTTTGACTGTTCTAATTATCATTATTTAAAGGTCACGATTATAATACTAAATTCTGTGTTAGCTCCAAGTAATATCGTAGCCATTCCAATTAGTATTAGGAGCTAAATGGACTCGTCGATTATTATAAAAAAATGATACAACTCCTCGATAACCAGTTCTTGGAACACCACTCTGTCAAAAAATTTTAAGGTAACATGTAATCATTACTAAATTAAATAAGTGTTTTGTACATACTCGAAAATCATCCATTAACCCAAGCATCTTTGCAGTATTTTTATATGACTGGCGAGTGTGATATGGTATCCTAACCGGTCCAGGTGTTAAGATATTACCAGATTTAAGATCACTATAAGTTACAATTGGTGAATGGTAGACTTCTTTTACAAAATTTATGTCATAATTATCCTTGAATAAATAATTAATATGTAAATTATAATAAATTATAAGATTATTTAAACTATTTGATTTTCATTTGCTTACTTTTAACAAATAGCTTAAGTTCATTTTTGTGAAAGGCACGAATTTATCGTTGAGTTTAATAAATTTTAAATGTTTTTCATAAAATAGCCCACTGAAATATAAATGATCATATTAATAATAATTTACAAATGTATACTCTATGAGTTTGAAAATACATTACTTGCTAACTCCAACTTTGCCAAAAGTTCTTGTTCTTGATAGCTCTGGCCTAATACAAGATCTGTTATTTCGTTGTTCTGGTTGTCGAATCCAATCATCCCAATATCTGTAATTGTTCGAATTTTAGAAGAAATCATCAATGAATGTAATTTAAAACTTTTACGCAAATAACTAACGCTTTGGGCCATTTAGGAGAAAGCTCCATCCACAAGTCACGTGTAAGCATCCATCCAAGACCCGGGAAAAAGTCTGTACGATATAACAAGTGTGGTGCATGTTCATCAACTAGTCCTGATTTTCCATTATCATTCCATGCTGATACACACCACAAAGTTTTATCTATAACTAAAAGGGGGTATGTGCCCAAAAAATACTCAAAAAAGTCAGGTGCCACATCCAAGTCATCTAAAAATGCGTATTATAAGATTTTTTTATTTAAAAATTTTTTTTTATTAACTTTACCTTCAACTATTATTGCGGTATCAAAGCCATACTCCAAAAAGATTTGATTTAAAGCCCAGCCGTAATGCCGAGCAATTTTGAAATACCCTTTAAATTTTTTCTCTCTGGGTGGTATATCAATATCCGATTGATCGGGTTGCTAATTAAATGATAAAAATTTAATTAAAAATTAATACTTATATATTTTCGTGAAATTAAATGACTATAAGATACGTTATGTCAAAATTATCATACTTGTATATAAGCCACTTCATCACCATATGATTTGATGATATCAGCTGTTTGTTGGTGTTCACAATCTTGAGATACAATAATAGGAAATTGTTCGGCGCTGGGTCGCAACTTTATTAATTGATTCAAGCATCTTTGAACTGTTATTCGATTACAAGAGAAAACAAGAACTGCAATTATTGGAGCATCATCCGATAGTGTTTTTTTTGCTGCTAATGCTTTTAGTTTTTCATTTTGTATCTCTTCCTACATACATCAAATTATTTCACTAAAAATATCTAATCTATAACTAAATTTTACTTTTTTTTATAAATACCTTAGTCTTTATAGTTTGTGTTAACTCATTTTTATCGATTGCATTATTAGTTAAATCTACATTTTTCTCTTGTTTTGTCGTTTTTGCTGCTATTTCCTCTTGTATTTCTATAAATATTTATTAACAGTTAAATATCATTCGACAGCAAATTATTTAATAAATATGCTTACTTTTTTGTTGCAGCTCGATCAAACGTTTTAACAAAATTTGATTTTCAGATATCTTTTGATCGACTTGTTTTTTTAGATTATTTATTTGATTTGAAAGGATATTCTGTAATAACAATTTTCTTAAATCATTCATTCATTATGAAATAAATTAGAAAATTGCTTTGACAAGCTATGAGAATCAGTGAATGACAGACCACGGATAGAATAGTTAATTAATTTCACTAACATATTATGATTAGTTTAATTGAAAACTCATATTAACCAAAAATGTAAATAATAATTGAATAAATAGTCTATCTTTCATTGTTCTACAAATATTTAAATTTGTAATCGATTTGATTGAAAAATAAATTTTCTAGTACTCAAAAAGATGGAAATATGCATTTGATACTACCTTGTCTTGTTTTCCTAAGGGTCGATCAAGGAATAGAAAATATGTGATAATACCCCATATAAATATAGACAAAAAAAATAAACTTATTGACCTTTTCCGCATTGCAGAATTAAATGTCACCTCATCTAAAAGTATTGTCACAACTTCATGTCGAATATGAACAAAGATAAAAAATGTAGCCATTCAGGTTGATAAAAAATGAAAACGTGGCACAAACCATTGTGTAGTTTAATAATTCTATAAAGTTCCGTGTTATTGAAAACTAAAATTACTTTTTATTTACAAGTCTTAAAATATCTTTTTTTCTCTTTTATCATTGAATATTGAACTTAATGACAGTCATTAAGGAGAATAATAATCATCAATTCATATATCAAAGAATTCCTACGTATTTCACCATGTGTATTGTTGTACAAAATTGTTTTTAAATAATTAGACAAACTGTCATTATTTCTAACCACACTTCATTGATACTTTTCTACATTTTCTCCTTCACTGAAATTTTTAAAATGACAGTATTTTCAAAAGAAACTAGTTGTTATTATTTGCTTGACGGTTAATGTAAATCAATTGATGTTTTCTTTAATAATTATAAATAAATTTATTTTAAAGTTGTCTTCTTAATGATTTTTAACTATCTGATAACACTTGAATGTAATTGACATCTGTGTGAGTATGTGTACATATAAGACTGTGCATTTCGTATAATATATAAACATTTTGTACGTTCCAACCATTGACGGTTATAGCCGTCACATATATATATATAAGCAAAATAGTGAATGCAACACTGAACTCGTATGGCTTCATACGGTACTGTTCTAAATTTGCGCGCACTATTTAAAATCTTTTATTAAAAATATTACATATTAAGCAAAAACTGCCTCCAAAATATGGTAAAAAAGCATATCTAATACTTATTATACAATAAAAGGTATATTTTATATTTTATTTTTAATTATGCAGCTACTAAACTAATCGCTACGTAACTAAACTCATTTCAAGTGATAATTGTGATATATTTCTCTGAACATATCACGACAATTAATTTTAACTTTCAATTTTGCACATAACAAAAATATTCCCGATAGTTTCCGATGTAAGCTATATATCTGTTCTGGGGGAGGACAAAGTCTGTGAGTGATAATTGTAGGCACCAATGATTGCATTCTAAAACAAAAACATAGAGATAAATATTTGTTCTAATACATAGAAGAAGAAATTAATATAAAAATGTTGAGATTATATAAAGTTGAAAATTACTTTTTTGTTACATTTTGACCCCCAAAATCGTACTTATTTGTATTTTCACTGAAAATTTCTCCTAAAATCATGACTGCATCAACATGTGCTTTCTCCATGACCTAAAATAAAAATTATCATTATCATATAATGAAACTGATTGAATTTAAACTACTCGCCTTTGATTCATATCCTGTTAAAAATTTCATTTCTCGTGAAAGATTTAAAACTTGATCTCGATCGCCTTTACTAGCTGCATCAATTATTTCAATATAGTTATCCATAAATTCCTTCTCATATGATCTGCAAGCTCCAAAGTCGAGCAAAATTAACTGAAAATTTCCATATTTTTATTATTACGAACTATTTTATTTCAGTACTTTAGTTTCAAAATATACCTTTCCTGATTCAATATTATAAAAAAAATTCGACCAATTAGGATCTGTTTGCATATATAAGAAGACAAATAATTCTTTTAAACAAAGATGCATAATTAGTGTACAAATATGTTCTTTAGTTTCCATGTCCATATCTGCACATTTATCTACTGGAATACCATCTATTAACTCTGTAGTCAAAACTTGCTTAGAAGACAATTCATCTATAAACAAAAAAATACAATAAGGATTTTATTGCAGTGTATATCCAATACGATATATTTGAATAAACAATAAATCTACCTATAACAGACGGAACGTAGTACTCCGGATAAGGTGCCAACAATTTTTTGAAGTGTTTTGAGCATTCAGCTTCTCGAACGTAATCTACTTCCCATGCTAATTCTTTCTTGGCAACTTCCACCACATTATCTATAAACATTCCTTCTGGAAATATATTCCAAATCTAAAGAAAGCCAGTATCGTATAAGAAAGAATTTTAGTCTATTATTAATCAGTATATTTAAATAAATGTTTGACATACTTTTAGTACCCCAACTAAATTATCAATATCACTTTGGATGCCCTCTGCTACTCCTGGATATTGTATTTTCATGGCAACTACTTGATCATTTGGAAGTGTTGCTAAATGAACTTGTCCTAAATTTATAAAATTATTTTTTCATATATTAAATTCACAATAATTTTTTTGAAATCATTGAAATAGCAATCACTACCTATAGATGCAGCAGCAAATGGCTTTTTCATCAAAGTTCTTAACTTTATTTCTCCAATCAGAGCCTAATTCATTGACTAAAACTTTCTATAATTCAAATTATATATTGAATAGTATGAATGAAAATATATTGACTCAATAAACTTTTATACAAACCTCAACTTGCCATGTTGGCATAAAATCTGCACTTTGTCTTACTCTTTCAAAAGCTTTTTGGAGCTCTGGACTGATAACATTATTATCTTGAATACTTAGTATTTGACCAATTTTTAAAGCAGCACCTAAAAATGATAAAATATTAATACAATGTAAATGAACCAATTGATAATAAAATGTACAGATATACCTCGAACTTTGCATAAAGTGGCAACAATTCTTTCGGCATTAGCTTTTGTTAAAAAAATATTATCTAATGATTGCCCAACACTAGCTTCTTTGAAACCGAGTGTTCGACGTCCATACTCTGCAATAGTACCAATTCCTAATCCTATTCCAAGAGTACCAAAGCTTATCATTCTTTGGATTCTCGAGCTTGGAACTTTCCTTGCTTGTGCTTCCGGAGATAACTTTTAAGAAATGGTAGATGGTTTTTTTTTTTTTTTTTAAATAAAAAAAGTTAAAACCATATTATTTTTCATGAATACTTACAGTTACTCGTGGTTTTATAACAGGCTTCATTTTTTTATTTGAACTCGATTGTATTGCAGAAATTTGTTTTTCACTTTGTGCATGATTATTTTTGTTTTCATCTTCTTTCAATTCTGCTGCTGCAGTTATGTTTGACGAATTTGGACTTTCAGAAATATCTTTATTTTTGATTTTCTTTTCGTGTTCAAGTTCTAATTGTTTGAGTAATAGTTTATCTTTATCACTCAATTGTATTTTAGGAATGGATTTATCTAAAGTACCAATCGTTGCTATTTTTTCTTTTACGCTACTGTATTTTTGAGGTATTTGTACTATATCATGTCTTTCTAGCTTTTGCATCGATTGATGAAGAATAGATGAATCAACTTTTGCATTATTTTCATTTACTGAAACTTCCTTTGGGTCTTTAGCTGGATGATAAATTTTTAATTTCGTTGATTTCTCTGTACTGTTACCAGAGCTATCAACAGGAATGCCAGTTACTTCAGATGTTCTGTGTTTAGTGTATTCAAATATTCCTCTTTGAACAGTGCAAATTCTTTCTACCAACTCTTTTGTTTCATTATAGAATTTTTCCTGTGAGAAATTATAATGTTAAAAACATTATCTTAAAGAAAAATAATCAGTAGAATAATTCTATTGAATTACAAACATTACGCTAACACTCAGCCTATTCGAAACTTACGGGAACCTTACTTGGATCAATTTCTTTGAAATTTTCTACAGCTTTTTTCAAATTAGACTCAGCAGTACTTTTTATGCTGGAATTATCAATTATCCGTTTACATGATTCTTCTTGATTCTTAACAATTGCATTCACAACCATTTGTAAGCCTTTCAAGACTCCAACGATATCTGAATTCCTTGGTTTATTCATTTTCTGAAATATGTATAAATTATTACATAATTAACAATAAATATCTTATTCTGAATAGTTACATTGCACAATAATGCTCAATGATACTTGATTTGACATTATTTCCAAAAATATTACACTAAAATATAAGATTAGTTATAATTAATATTAATTTAAACTACTTGCATATTAAATAATGAAAAAATGAAATAAATATAGGATTATTTATTGTTGAGAAATGATGCATTATTATGGAATACTGATTATTGTTGTAAAATTTTTTAGTTAATAATAATGCAATTGAAATATTTAACTAAAATGAAAATTAATCTGGATAATTACGTTCAAAAAAGTACTTGTCAGAAACAATCCTACCTTATTTCTTTAGAAATTTAGAATAACAACAATTAGCAATAAACAAGCGCGAATGTCGAATAATTTGTAGTCATGTGCTATTACCTACATGCTTACAGACATTTAACTTGGAGTCAGCGCTATCTTTCTTGAACTAACAATAAGTAGAAACAGGTTGAATTACCAGCCACCAATTTATCGTTGGTAAAAAAGATAATTCAACAAAAATGCTCAAATATTCATAAACTCATCAAGTATGCTATTTAATAATTAAAATATATTCCTATTGTGATACTTTTTATTTATAATAATTAATAAACATTGTCGTAAAAAATTAGTTGAGTAAAATAGAAAAATAAAAGACTGTTGTATTGATATATTTTTTTTTGATACTTTTCAAACTTCATGTCTACTAAAGTGTCTGTTTTAAAAACAAACATTATTGTTTTATAAAAAATTTATTATTATTATCTAATTATCAAGTCTTCTTAGCGAAGCTTTATATTTTCAATTTAACATATAAGAATTAATTGGAATAATGATAAATATTATTTTGAAAAATTTTTATTTTTGAAATAATTAAAATGTTATTTGTACTTTTATCACTGTATTATGACATTCAAGAACTATAAAAGCAAATGCAATATTTTACAATTTGCAGGTAATTATACTATAAATTAATATTTTTTTAAATTAATAAGTGTTTATGTGAGTAAAAAATTTTTCAGTTTTCTTTATATTGTTATGAGCTTAATAAGAGGATCGGAGCATGTTGAAAAAAATTTTATTACAAACGGTCAAAGCTTGCAAAAAAGAACAGCTAAGCCAATCATATTTAATACAACTTCCGTTTTAAACAGTGCAGCTTCAACAATTATAACTTTTGATAATCAAATGTGCAATGCTACTGATTCTATCACTTCAGCTGAATGGAATATATCAAAAAATTATTATTTAGTTGATGATGTTAAAAATAATGTTGTTCACAATAGAAATGATAAGAATAAAGAAGTTGAACCTGTTAGTTACAAAATTGGTAGAAGTTTGAAGAAATTTACTCTAGATAAATCTTTTACTCGAGCTCCTGCAAAAGATTTTTTTGGCTTTGATGATGATGAAGATGACGATTACAGAGCATACACTGCAACTATAGAAATTCCTGGAGCAAAGAAAACACCGTTTGATCCTCAAAAATTTTTCTCCGATTATGTTATTCCGACAGCTGTCTTTGAATATGTTGATCAGAGAACAAAAGTTACAGAAGGTTTAAAAATGTCTGCTTCTGATAAAACTTCAACTACTGTTTCCATAATTTCTTCTACTACTCCTAGTACAACAACTACCGAAAAGATTACTAATTATGACAAAAGTAGTACTCAATCCATCAGAATATCTGAAAAACTAGAAACTGAAACTAGTACTCTAAAAGCATTTAGTAAAAAACCAACAACTCAAACAATGAAATCATCATTTTTCTCGGATTATGTTATTCCAACAGCTGTCTTTGAATATGTTGATCAGAGCACAAAAGTTACAGAAGATTTAAAATTGCCTGCTTCTGAAAAAACTTCAACTACTGTTTCCATAACTTCTTCTACCACTCCTAGTACAACACCTACCGAAAAGGCTACTGATTATGACAAAAGTAGTACTCAATCCATCAGAGTATCGGAAAAACTAGAAACTGAATCTAATACTCTGAAAGCATTTAGTAAAAAACCAACGACTCAAACAATAAAATCATCAACTTCTGAAATAACAACTCAAAACATCAAAGAGCCTAACGAAATTGATACAACTATAAATTCTGGAGAAAAAGAAACATCAATTTTACTTGAGATAGAAATAGGTTTAGTGACAAAATCAAGTGTTCCTAATGTTAAGGCTAGCACGGCAAAAACTTCTATTTCTAGTGAAGTACCCAAAAAAATGGAAACTTCCTCACAAACACCTATAATGACATTAAGTACTTCTGAAACATCTACATCTACGCCATCATCTTCGCAAATAATAGATGAGACAACATCTACAAACTTCACGGCTTTTGATTCCACCAAAACATTAGCATCAACAGTGTCAACATTAGCAACTAATGCTGTAGAAAATACAACATTAGAAATAATGGGGTCATCGACAAATCAAACATCTTTTGAAACTACTACTGAAATGCTACACGAAAATATAACAGCGATATCTAATATGACGAGTGTAACGAGCGAGTTAATCCATAGCACAGAAAATACAACCATTGGTTTTAATTTAACAACTGCTGAATTATCAACAAACATCACTGAAACATTTCAAGAAAATACAACTATGTCAATAGATTCGACTACATATTATGCAAATTCCACAATATCGGATACTGAATTAATTACTATGACAACTGAAGGGCTTACGGAAAGGATAGCAAATTTGACTACAGAATTGACTCCAACTATTACAAAGCTATCGTCTATTACAGAATTAAATTTGACTACAGAGTTATCTTCAATTACAGAATTGACTCCGACTACCACAAAGCTATCTTCTATTACAGAATTAAATTCGACTACAGAGTTATCTTCAACTACTGAATTAAATTCGACTACAGAGTTATCTTCAATTACAGAATTGACTCCGACTACTACAAAGCTATCTTCTATTACAGAATTAAATTCGACTACAGAGTTATCTTCAACTACTGAATTAATTTCGACTACAGATGCAATACTTGGAAAAATTGATGAAATGGTGAACATGACTGTCACTACTGAAGATGATAGTGGATGTAATAAAACAATGCAGGAGTTAGAAAAAGAAGGAGAGGAATTATTGAAAACTTTGAATAAGATCCAAGACAAAGAAGGAGAATTAGAAGAAAAGGAAAAAGAGGTGAAACAATTGTTAAAAGAATGGCAAGAGCATAAAATAAGATGTATGGAAAAATATGAAAAGACGAATAGTACGACACCATATTATACATCTTTGTCAAGTTCTGTGTCCAAATGGGCTATCTCAACTGAAACAGAAAAAAATATAACTACAGAATCAATTTCATCAAGTATAATCATTGATAAAACAACAAGTGAAAATATATCCTATTCGTTACCAGAAACTACAACTGCAGGTAATAACACAATTTATTAAAAATTAATAAGATATAAAATTTGAAAAGTTATATAAAATGAGTTAAAAAATATCTAGGTTCTTTCACAAGTTTGAAGTCAAGTCCTATGGACAACTTAACTGAGATTATAACTTCAACTGAATCTACGCTCCAAGAAATGGAAACAAAATTTATAACTTCAACAGAGTCGACAAAGTTAGTAACGTCAAGTCAAATGAAAGAATATGACAATACTACTTCTACAGAAGAAAAAATCACAACATCACTTTCGACATCTGAAATGAGTATGTCCACAGAAAAATTCATGCCAAACTCAACAGAAGTTTTATCGAGTACATCTGAACTTTCATCAACTTTGATGCAGGAAATACAAAATATCACTCAATTTAAGGAGTTATCAGTTTCATCTACTGTAAATTATACAGCTGCAATTTTTTCTACATCAGAAAAAACCTTATCTACGGTAATGGAATTTACAATTTCTCAAACGGAGTTAAATGAATCAACAACTGTTTCACCTTTAGTTTCTTTTACTGAAAATGGTACATCATCAACATGGTTATTTTCTTCAGAACCAAAAGAAGAAGATTTATCGAGTACTATAGAAATTACATATCCTACATTATTATCGATAACTTCTGAAAAGCCAATTAATGTTACAGAAACGACATCTTCAATATCACTTATACAAACAAGTACTGAAGTAGAACAATTAAATTTAACAATTCAAGAAACAACTTTAGAAGAAATATCTCTATTGAACGCAACAACTGAAGAGTACAAAATTAATGAGACTACCAATTTGTACCAATCTTCAACTATCACGCCTGAAATAATAAATATTACGACAATGACAACACCATCACTTTCTTCAGAATTTGTGAAAAATGTATCAATCTTTCCTACTTCAAATTCGAATGCAACATCAGAAATGCCAATAACATCATCGTCATTATCATCATTAATTACTGAAGAAATAGAAAATGTAACACAAACATTTACTTCATCAGTTTATTCTACTGAAGAGAAAATTACAAATGTGACAGAATTATCCACTTCATCGGTTTACTCTGCTTCAGAAAAAATTGAAAACATGACTGAAACCTCTTCTTCGTTATATTCTTCGACTGAAGAACTAGTTTTAAATGTAACAGAGACGTCTATTTTACCAATTTATTCAACTGAAGAAAAAATGGAAAATGTGACAGAAATCTCTTCTCCATCAGTTTATTCTACTGAAGATAAAATTACAAATGTAACAGAATTATTAACTTCATCCGTTTATTCTACTGAAGAAAGAATTACAAATATCACGGAAATATCAACTGCATCCGTTTACTCCACTACAGAAAAAATAGAAAATATAACAGAAATATCTTCGCCACCAGTTTCTTTGACTGAAGGGCAGGTTTTTAATGTAACGGAAAGTTCTTCTTCATCTGGATATATTACTGAAAATCGAACACTAAAAACAATATCAACCGTAGAAACTACCGAAGAAAAAATTATGAATGTAACAGAACTTTTATCGTCATCAAGAACAGAAACTGAAACTACAGAAACTCTTTTAACGACACTTTCAACAGAAGTTATACAAAATAAAACTGAGACATCATTGATGAGTTCTTTAACAGTTCAAAATATTACATCGTCTTTACCATCAAATTTAACATCTACTGAAACAATATCTTCTGAAAAATTTTATTCTTCTACTGTATCATCTTTAATGCCAGAAACAATATCACCTTTAACTAATGTCACTGAATTCGTGGGAATAACAGCAGTAACTGAAAGTAATTTTACAAGTACTCGTAAAGATCTAGTATCTTCTCCTGCAACTTCTGAAAGTTCAACAATACTATCGTCATCTTTTGATACTGAAGAAATAAAAGACAATTTAACAACAATAATGGAAATTACTAGTTCTTCACTATCAGAAGGAACTACGAAAAAAGAAATACAAGAAATTACTCAAGCTTTTTCATCATCATCTCATTATTTTAGTGAAGTAGAAAGTATGACAGATATGCCAAAAATATCACCTTTTACTAAAGGCGAAAGAATAGTGTTTACATGTCCTGAACATAGAACTGAAGCTTCGATTGGTACTTCAAAATTAACAACATTAAAAGAAAAAGAAATAACATCAACAATATATTCAACTTCAGCATCTACTAAAAGCGGTACAACTTATTATACCTCTGAAGTTCCGTCATCTCCAGAAGTATCGACAACTAATAAAACAACTGAGTTTCTTTCTACATCGGCAGAAAGCATTCAGGATGTACTCCCAAATGCTACAGAAACATCATCAATTTCAGTATCCATGAGTTTCGAACCACTAATAAATATAACATCGCAATCGACTGTATTGACTACAGAAATGGGTGTTGAAAATATGACAGAATCATCTATATCGCCATCGATAACTGAAGAGTTTACTTTCTCACAGAAACAAAATATTACATCTTCGATTTTATTAACGTCAACTGTGATTTATTCAACAGAAAAAACGAATACTACAGAGAGTGTACAAGGATCATCTTTTACATCAGAAGAAATATCGTCCATCATTAAAGAAAATGTAACGGAATTTATCTCAACATCATTTACTGTGAAAGAAGGGAGTACTGATACTGAAGAAACATCGTCATCCAACTTTACTACAGAAACACTAAAGGAAGAAAATACAACAGAGCCATTTACATCAGAATTACCATTAAAAAGTGACATTACTTCTGGACCTTTATTTAATATATCCTCGACTTCTATGGAAGATTTGAAAAATTTATCTGATACATCATCTTTTTCATTCACAAAACTAAATCAATCCACAACTCCAATAGAGATGTCTTCAAGTCCATTTACTTTTTCATCGACAACGGCAATTTTAAATATTTCAAGTATTTCTACATTTTTTCATACATTATGGTTATAATTTTTACAAGTTAACATTATTAATAATGTTTAATATTACAGGTACTTCAACATCATTTTTAAATACTACAGAAGAATTAACATCGCCAGAATTAACTAGTAGTAGTGCTAATGAATCACTTACAATGTTATCAACTTCGGAAATAGAGCATTCTACTACAGAATTATTGGAAACTGTCGATAATACAACTAAATCTAGTCCAATTGTTTCTGAGCTTACTTCTAGTTCAATACTTCAAGAACAAACTTCTGAATTGCCACCTAACACAACAACTTCTGAAAATTTTATAAATATGACTAGCTTTGTTAGTTCAACACAAAGTACAATATCTACTACTGTATTAGCTGAAAAAGTTAATTCAACTGTTGAACAAACTACTATTTCGGCAAATTTAAAACCAACAACAAATGTTACATCAATTCCCACATCAATAGAAACCCCTTCTTCAACTTTGTCTTTTATAGAAGAAATAAATAAAACGGAAACTGTTGTAGAATCTTCAAGTTATTCATCATCTGAAAAAGTAGAAACGGTTTCTATTCCTATGGAATCATTTAATACAACAATTTCAAAAATACTTGAAGAAAAAAATGAAACGGAACCATTTACATATTCAACAAGTTCATCGACATCAAAGAAAGTACAATCAACTTCTATTTTAAGCGAAACAATGACAGTATCATCATCTGTTCCATCATCAATATTATCTACAGTAATGAGCTCAACAGAAATACCTTCAACATTTTTAACATCATCTGAATTATCAACAACTAAAATTCCCCTAACAACATCTACAATAGTTTCTTCATCTAAATCGATATCAAGTACTACATTACCTGAAGTATCAACGTCATCAATTTCATCACTTGCAACTGAAACCACTGTAACTATGCTTTTTCCTTCTTCCTTATCTCAAAAAACTGAAATAGAAAATACTACATATTTATCAAGCTTATTGACGTCAGAACAAATTGAATCAACTACATTGCAAATTAATGAAACTGAGGAATCAAATATTACAGAGTTAAAAACAACAGAAGCCTTACTAATGTCATCGACTCTCGAAGGAAGTAACGAGACAGAAGTTTCTGTTAGTACTAGTATAACAATATCAACACCACAGGTGTCAACAGAAACTAGTCCAAGTTTATTAAATAAAACTCAATCTGAACCAAGTCAATTAATATCTTCAACTAGTCCAACGTTAGTATCAGAGTTATCTTCTCCATCATATCCTTCTTCAACTTTATTAGTAAATTTAACCGAGCCAAGTGAAAGTACAATATCAGTACAATTTGCAAGCACAAAGATTCCGGAAACATTCACATCCGTTAATAAGTCAACTGAACCTTCAGTAACTACTTCTGAAAAAATAGAAATTTCATCAGAAGTAACTACATTCAATTTTTCATCTTCTGAAGTGTCTAAATCTTCTACGCTTAGCACATTAATTTCTTCAACGCTATTGGAATCGTCCTTAGCACCACAGTCTTCATCAAAGTCAACATTACCTTCTGAAACAACAATTTCACAAGTACCGTCGTTGACACCTCTGCTAACATCAGAAGTAACACTACCAACTTCAACTTCTACAAAATTATTAACATCATCATCACCGTCCGAATCAACTTCAGAAAATTTTTCATCTATAACTTATTCACTATCAGAATTATCAACAACTCCTGAGTCATTAACGGAATTACAATCAACATCACTAACTACATCAAAAATTTCATCAATATATTCAACATTACCAGAACTATCAACATCACCTATAAAAGCAACAAAGTCAACATCATCTGTTACCTCAATTGGAACTTCTGCATCATCATTATCTTCATTGAAATCTTCTACAAATTTGTCAACTTCATCTGAAATACAAACGTTATCACAGTCATCATCAACAATAACTGCATCTTCAATGTTGACTGAATCATTATCAACAACGCAATCGCCAATCCAGATGTCAAGTATGTTTACTTCGTCAGAATCATCACCGATTTCGATATTAACTAATACATCTATACATCCAACCTCACTATCTTCAACATTCGTTTCGTCATCAATATCATCTTCGACACCTTTGAGTTCAACAAGAAAACCATCTATACTTTCATCATCGACTAAATTATCACCAATAACTGAGGAAATAATGAATACATCTTCAACGATTTCTACATCATCAGAATCAACATCTATCACATGGTCAGTATCACCTGCGACTACTGAGGGCTCAACAGTGACATTTGTTGCATCTTCATCATTGTCTGTAACGCCATTGACTTCATCTACCGGATCACAAAGCTCAACAGAAGAATTATTAACACATTCATTGTCAACTGAATTATCATCGACTACTCCGAATCCAGTACAAAAATCGTCGACTATTCCTATATCATTATCAACTTCGATATTGAATGTAACATCAACTCCATTTACATTATCGGAGTTACTTTCATCATCTGTGACATCTTCAATATCGTCATCAGTTTCATCGAGCTCGATAGAAACATCTCCATCAACTCCAATAGAGTCGGAAACAACAGCAGTATGGACATCAATGAATTTATCTTCAATTTCTCAACCATTATCAAAATCATCCCCTACATTTCTAAAAACTACGGAATTTCCTACAACTTCTCAGTCATCTACTAAGTTATTAATAACCACTCCGTTATCATTTTTAACATCTTCAACATCTTTGGGAACAACAAAAATTCCATCATCAGAAATGTCTACACCAACTTTAACATCTTTCAAAATTTCTTCGAGTTCTTCACCTCTATCTGAAACACATTCAACGGCTTCGACGTTGATAGAGGTACCTACAACTTCTTCAATATCGACAAAACAAACATTAATAGAGACGTCGCCAACTACTTTTATAACGTCAGAATTATCATCAAGTCCATTATTAACCGATACATCAACACTTTTAATTTCATCACCTTCAACACCAATTACATCATCGACAGTTCAGACATCTATAAAAACATCTTCAATAATTTCGGTATCATCAGAGTCATCATCAGTTTCGATATCAACTAAGTTACCAACAGTATCAACAACGATTACGCCATCAATATCGTCTACAACATTGAGCTCAACAGAAATATCTTCACAGTCAACTGAACCAGAATCAACGTCGTCTGTGATGTCTTCATTATCATCGAAAGTACTGAGCTCAACAGAAACATCTTCAATATTAACCGAATTTCCAACGTCATCTGTTATGCCATCAATATCATCTACATCATTGAGCTCAACAGAAACATCTTCAATATTAACTGAATTTCCAATATCATCATCATCTGCTACTTCATCAATATTATCAACAACTCAAAGCTCGACAGAAATATCTTCAACACAATCTGAATCATTATTATCAACTACTGAAATTCCAATGAAAACATCTACAATAGTTTCATCGTCTGAATCAATGTCAAATACTGGATCATCTGAAGTATCAACGTCATCCATGGTATTGAATCAATCCTCAACATCGTTTTTACCGGAATCATCTTCAACCTTTTCAAAATTGAATACAACTTTGCCGTCATCGCCAACATTATCTAAAATATCATCGACGTTAACCGAATTATCATCAGCTATATCACAAACAACTCAGTCTATCTCTACATCTACGTCATCTCCAACTATTTCAACGTTGCCTGAATCATCATTATTAAAATCTTCTACAACTTTAAAAGCAACAGAAATAACATCAACTACATCTCCAACAGAAGCGACAAAAACATCTGTAACATCATCGAATTCATCATCAACGGAAACGTCTCCAATATCTGTATCATCGTCTTTGAAACCAATATTTTCAACATTATCTGAATCTCCTTCACAATTGACATCAACACAATCACTTTCAACGACTACAATATCATCGAAATCTCCATCAACTCTTTCTACTATTTTAGACTCTTCATCAATTTCAACTACGCAGTCATTAATTCCCTTAAAATCTTCAGAATCAAAATCGAGTTTTATCACAACAACTAAATTGTCGTCATTATCATCCACGTTGACAGAATTATCGATGACTCCATTGTCATCAGGAATTACATCGACAGTTTCGTCTTCACCGGAAGTATCTTCAACACCTTCATTATTAACGGAGCAATCATCAATTCCTTCAACACTGCTGAATTTATCTTCATTACCTTTGACACAATCCGAATCAACAATCTCAATTGAATCTAAATCTCCGTCATCTCCTATTTCTCCAACATTAACTCAAGAAGTAGAGGCAGAATCTACATCTACATCTGTGAAAGACACTCCATCAACTAAATTATCGACTGTATCAAAGTCCAGTCTATTAACAGAAATAGAATCATCGACATTATTAACAACTTTAAACGAGTCCAGTTCCTCTACGAAAGTAGAATTAACAACATCATCGATATCTCCTGGCCCTAGTCAGTCTACAGAATTAAAATCAACAACATTTTTTACAACTTCGAGCTTGAATCCATCAACAGAAATGGAATTAACAACACCATCAATATTTTTCAGTCCATCTTCAGAAGTAAAATCATCATCATCATTGCCATCTTCAACTTTAAGTCCATATACAGAAATGGAATCATCACAATTATTGACATCTACGTCGTCATCTATAAAAGATATTCAATCAACAACATTATTAACGTCTATTCCGACTTCATTAGGATCTACTGTTATTACTTCAGTTTCTCCAACATCCACGTCAAGTTTAACGACCGAAGCACAAGTCACTAACTTTACCGATACAAAATCGCAGTCCTCAACGTTTGTTACTCCTAAACAATTATCTAGTACAGAAAATGTTACAGAATTTACAACTGTAACTAGGGAACCATCTACAAGTACTACTTTTTCATCGAGTGAATCATCATCACTAAAGTTATCAACTGCAATAATTTCTGATATGTCAAGTACAACCCTTATACCTGTTTCATCTACTAAATTAATTTCATCTACAACACCTCTTTCTTCAATATCATCAATTGTTTCATCTTTACCATCATCAACAGCGATAGATATATCGAGTTCTATGAAAGAATCTACTGAAACTTCCACGCCAGAACGAATGTCTTCCGTATCGTTATCATCGGAAACAGAGACAACTGGATTTACAGACGTATCAAGTACAAGCATAGAAGCTTTTACATCTTCCTTGGCTGGAATTACGACATTAAAAAATACGGAATCTTCTAGCAAACTTTCAACAACTTCACTCAGTAGTGAAAAAGAAGAAACAAGAATGCCATCAACAATGTCATCGATAACATCGACTGTATTAAGTACATCAGAATCTTCATCAACATTGAAAGAACGAAACAACATATGAAACTAGTGAAGTAACATCAGAAACCCAAATGTCTTCTATGTCTAGTGAATTTATATCTACAATTGATTCAAATGTTACAAGTCAAGCTGAATCAACCGTGATTTCGTCTACAGATAGTACAACAGTAACAGAATCAATGACTGAAGAAGAAACTACGTTAACTAGTACACAAAGTTCAGAGTTTTCAACATTGTCCACATCAACAACAATAAATTTGACGATTACAACTTCTTCAAATACACCAACTCTTTTAACATCAACAACTACGATTCAACCGACATCATCTCTTTCAAGTACTATGAATGATGATTATCCAGAAACAAATACAACATCAATATCTTCAAGACACGATGAAAATATTACTAAATCCACAACTCTTTCAAGTTCAACAGTTAAACGAGCTACGATTCTCGTTTATCCTACAACAATTATTCACGGAGTTCCCGTAGATTTAATGTATGATGATTATGAATATGATGAAAATATGACAACAACAACAATATATGACGATGATTACACTGACAGTACCACCGAGACTTCAACATTTTCAGAATCGACAACATTTTCATCATTATCCGATGAAATTCTTACAACTATATTCGAAACTTCAACACCAACTGAAGAAACTACTAACCAGACTGAAGAATTAGTTGATAAAATCCATGAATTAGAAGATCAATTTGTGCATCAAAAGGATGAAATTGAAGAAAAATTAGAAGATCAGAAAAAAGACCTTGAAGATAAAATTAAAGATTTGGAAAGCGCAATTAAAGATTTAACAACAACAAATCGTTATGATCGACCTACAACTATGTCACCTAAAACTATTGAAACTACTATAAGTTCGAATAAAATATCCTCGACCACGACAGAATCTAACATTGATGATGAAAGCTCAACAGAGCAACTTATTTCACCTTTAGATGAATCCTTACAAACTACATCTCATCCAACAGAACTAGTAAAAAAATCAACGCTCGACAACGATTGTTATGATGATCATTTAGAGGGTTTTAATGATCAATACTTGTATGATGGAAATGATATTTGGCCAGAGATGCCAATGGATATCACTTCCGATCTTTTGAATGAACTAGGAAACGATGAGAATTGTGAAAATAATTCTAGTAACTCAACAAACACAAAAAGAGCAAAGAAATTCGAGATCAAAGAAACAAATCGAACAACTATTGTTGGGAAAAGAAAGTTATTATCAATTCCAATAGCTAAAAAAAATATAAAAAAGGTTGAACTTTCAAAAAAATTGAATCCTAAAAAACATGACAGCAATAGAAACTTGAACTTAATAAGAAAAATAAAAACAGTATTAAAAAAATCAGCTTCTAGATCAAATAAAAGGCGACATATATTTGATGAAGTACAAATGGCCTTTGATCACATTATTGATCAAGAAAATACCACAATAGTACCTGATAGTAGTTTAACTTCTTCATCAGATGATGAAAAATTTACAGAAATTGTTCATTCCAGTATAAAAAATATCTTACCTCAGTATCCGGATAATAAAAAAATAGCAAAAAAACGTAATGCAAATTCACAAAACTGTCATAATAATCAGCATGCAAAAAATGAACTTTGTGGTAGTGATAAATCTTGGCAATCACTGCGAAAAGTAAGAGATAATTTATTAAAAAAATTATCATTACCAATATTCCATCGAACTTCACAAAAAAATCATACTGTAAAACAAAATGTTAAGCGTACTTTAAGTAAACAAGAAAATCATAGAAAAATGAAAGTAAATAGTACAATTCCTGGTATGGAAAACAATGAATTTGGCATTCGAGAAAAATTAATTATATATGTAGATAAATTGAAACCTATATCAAGTAAAAAATTGCCTCGTCAAGTATTCAAGTGTGATAAAAATCACGGAGACAATAATCACAGGAAAAAAAGACATCATACAATAAAAAGAAATAGTCAAAGAGTTACAAATAGTCGAAGTGCATTCTCTAATACAAGTGATAAATATTTAGTATCTAACATAGTTCAAAGAATTGTAAATTTAATATCTGATGAGTCTAATTCGTTAAAAAATCTTGATCCGCATTTTTCTATAAAAGTAATCAGAGATGTATCAAAATATTCCGGTGAAAAAAGCTCTCAGTCACAAAATCATAAAGAGAGTAGATGTGATAAATTAATTGGAAAATTTGAAAGTAAAGCTAATGTTGATCATAAAAATAATACATTAAATAAATTAAGAATGATAAAAGATAGCAAAATAAAGAAGCGAATGTTAGATAATGATATTTTGATGACAAAATTGTATAATCCGAGAGGAAATCGTGATGGAAAACATCTAAAATTAAATCATAATCAATTTCACTTAAAAAAACAATGGAGAAAAAAATTTAAAAATGAGAAAAAAGGAAAACATAGGCATCAATGGAAAAACAATTTGAGAAAAGAAAAGTTGAAGCAAAAAAAGAAAAAGAAGTGGGAAAAAGTAAAAAATTTATTACATGGTAATGGCAATGACAATGAAAATAAACTAATCATCAATCCTTCTAAATTGAATAAGAAGTTTGAACGGCATTATTATGCAACTGATCAAATAGATCAGATTGGAAATGATATTGAAAAGATTTTAAGAGAAACAGAAAATGAGAGACTAGAAAAAAACCACCAAAATTAGAAAATTTAGTGGCTGATTTGGCAAAAGAAAAAATTTTTAGATAAAAAGCTTATTTAATAAATTATAAAAATAATAATTATGATCAATTTTATTATTATATGAGCAAATATATGTATAAATATAATCTGTGATCTTAGTAAATGATAAATAAATATATTTCAAAATATATATATATATCAAATAAAATTATTTAGAACTATAGAACTTACTTTTATTCGTAAATTAAAATTATAAAAAATTTTTAGTAAATCTTAATAAAATAAAATTAAATTTCAATTGACTATCGATGTTCAATAGAATTTATTATCGATTTTTACAATTACTGTGTAAGGATACCTTTACAACTTCCATGTTTTTTTTTCTAATATTAGTTTGTATTTGATCATATAAACAGATAATTAGTTGTATATAACTACCAAATTCGAAAGCATCTGTAACAAACACAAATTTAACAAATGTTTAAAAATTAAGTGTTGATTCTTCATCATTTGACATTTTAAAACTTACAAATTTATTTCAGCATTTGATGACGAACCATGATGAATGGAAGTCCAAAAGCACTACCGAAAAATAATGTAAAAGTAAGAGTAATTGCGTATTTGTTGTCGGTGTTAAATGGCAAGTTCTGCAAATAATAATATTATTCGTTTAATTCAAAAAATTCATGAATTACCGTTTCTCGATGAAATGATTATGTAATAGTTAAAAAATAATTTACGCTTCCAGGTATTCCACCAACGTCGTGACCAGATCGACGAATGGCACTCGTTGTAAATTTTCTGATAAGTTGACGGGCAATCATAATTGATTGATTAAATTTAACTGATGAAATTAAATGACGTGAATGTAATTTTATAATTGTTTTATGAAGTTTTTAGGTTTGTGAGATAAATTGCAAAGATTGATCGTCTAAGATGGCTACTAAATTTTAAACATAAATAATATAGATGGCATTGCTGTTCTTAATACAGCCGGTAATTTCGTTTTTCAATTAAAATTAATGAATATTTCGAATTTTTAAAACAATAATAAAAAAAAATTCTAGAATTATATTTATTGAATTTAGAATTTGATTAAATTTAGAAATTAAAAAATAAATAGTTCGTGATATGTTTCCAACAAAAGGTGAACTATCGACGTTCTAACTTTAGCGTTAGTGTTTTTGTCTAAACCTACAAGAATTTTTATCAGGACCATTTTAAATTTGATATTCCTTTTCATCAAGAAAATAAAATTTTGTTTTTTAGTATAATTATATAACTTTTATGACAATTACCAAGAATACTTATTTCTGTTTATTCTCCTGAATACAAAGGAATGTTCAAGATGACGTCAGAAACGTGGACGCAATTTGATAGTAGCTCAGTTTTAATCGAAATCTCATGGTGTAATGGCGTAGTTGCAAATGCTCCGAAAAATAAATGATATTTTAATAAATAATAAAATGTCACAAGTTACTCTTCAAACATAGTGAATAGTAAAAAAGTCTGAAAGAGCAGTTGTTTATAGCTATGTATTTTTATTATTGTAATTATAAATGAGAATTGAATCATCATCAATCCTGTAAAAATAGGTTTATGTTCGAGTGATTTTCAGGCATTTTCTTCAATTGTGGAAAAGAAATGACAAGTATTCGATTACATTTATTTATTAATCAAATTTTTTCAATGTTACATATTCGTAAGTGAAGTGTTGTGAGTGAACATTTGTTACAATTTGAGTAAAATCACTAAAAAATGGAGGCAAAAGGAGTCGGCTTTTTGTGCGGCATTGAGATAATAACTGTATAAATTCAAATTAACAAGAATTATTGAAGAGAAAATCATATCAAGTAAGTCTTACTTTATTACGCAGTAATTAATTACTCTGAATCCGATCAACTAGTTAATCCGAGTTTTATCCGGAAAAATTCTTGTCACTTCTCCGAAATGTAACGTAAACAAAACATTGCTCTTTCTATGTGAACATTGTTCTATATAGACGTTATGTTTTGATCGTAACTTCTACTGTAGTAGTTAAATTCTGCTTTTTGTCGTTATATCAGGAAAGTTACAAAGAATATTGCAATTTAAACTCACTTAATCTTTTATTTGAAAAATTATCAATTCAACTATACAGAGTAATCTGCATCTACTCGTAAAAATAAGATCTGTTTATATTAGGGTTTGGTAAAAATTATTGAACGTAATTAAATAGAAAACAGATAGAAAAAAATCTTTTGCTCTCATTGAGTTGATATTATTATTAATCTTATAATAAAATAAAACAATAGTTGCACATTTCGATAAACAATCAATAATAAACAATGCAAACTTATTTAAATACAAATATTACTAATCAATATGTTAAATTGAAATACAAAAATGTTACAATTTTATCTATTACAGTTGTATAAACAATACAATACAAGAATTTTAATACGTAAAAATTTTGGGTTTCTAAGACTAAATTTTTTCAAATGCCAAACTATCACGTTTTTAAAAGTTATCTATTCATAAAAATTTTTCATTATTCGAATGATTTATCATAAGTACAATCATTCACAAAATTTCAAACAAACAAGATTGTCGAAAATTTAATTAGTGGTTATGATTAATTATGTACAAATGATAATATAGTGTACAAGAATAACAGTTTTTATTCGTGTATAAAATAATATTATTTATGATACATGTTTTGCCTTTATAATGTAAAGTATATAATATTTTCTGATGGCCAATTATTGTTTCATTAATGATATTTTAATAATAATTTAGTAAGCAAAGTTTCAGGCGTTTATTTATTTTTACATAGAATTTTGCTCAGGAGTGATAAAAGTTACCACCACGATTTTATGTATTTTATTTTTATAAATACTCATAAGGTTATTGAAAGAAAAAATTATTATGTAACAAAGTAATCAAGAAAAGTTTTTTTGTGAGGTTTTTTGCATAAATGTTTCTGATTATATATGCAAAAGTTAATATGAAATGTTATTCATTCTATCACGTTATCTTATTTCAATACGAATAGAAAATTTACTTCATATACAACTGGCAAGAATATATTTTATACATAATAATTTGAGCGAATACATTACTATTTACAATCCATTATAAATTTTTCCATATTGTTTTTTAAGTTTTTTAAAATCATCAACAGCCTATTGTGGTCGATAAAATCGATATTTGTGAGTATTTATGTAGACAGTCAGAGAAGGGATCACAAGTGTGAGAAAACATGATATATTTGACTAATTATTTATGTTTCTTGATGATAATAGTTAAGTATTATTTTCTTCCTGCTGTCCATTTTATTATACATAGTCTTACTTTTATTATTAATATAGAAATAGAAAGTATATAAATATAACGAATAAGCGTCGTCTTCGCTTATTTACACATTTGGCCTTGTATTTATATAATTATGGTTTTCATGCTTTTCAAAGGAAAAATCAAAATCGTCATTTGTTTTTACCTCATAGAAATGCCCAACATATTTACTCAGTTGTATTGTAATTAAAGTTTTTTTTAATTTTTTAAATCTTTTATATTAACTGTATCAGTCTTTGTTCGTTTCATGCAATCGGTGGATCATCATCGTCATCTTCTTCTCTTGTGACCAAAACATTTCCATAAACATTCTGTCGACATGGTAGTAATCTATATTTTTTGGCACAGCAAAATCCTATACCACCGAAAATGATTAAAAATGTTGGTATTAAAAGACCAGCAGCTACTGAACTACCTAAAAAATGATTCAAAATAAATTAGAGAGCTATTTTTATTAAAAATTTTATATATTCTCTTAGAATTTTGCATTGTCAATTTAATTTTACCTGACGATGATTTCTCATTGGTCTTTTGATCTATAGGATCAGTTGAGGCTGCCGCAGTAGTTGAAACTTTTATACATTCACCGTTAGATTCTATGTAATCTCGTAAACAATTACAAAAAAAAGTATTATTACTAGCTCCTTCACATCCTTGATTAATACCACAATTAACTGGTAGCTCCGATGGATCACATTGTTGTCTTAAGGTTTTATTATTACCTAAATTACCTACAAAAAAAATTGTTATCATTATAATTGAAAAAATTTACATAATTATTATAAATATTCTCAAACGTTATACTTTGATCTAATGAATAAAAAAAACTTGCAAATGCATGATAATCAATTTAAAAAAAATATTAATTATATAGTGAATCATCCGCTATTTAAACTAAATAGTAGATAAGAAGTAAACGGGAAAATAATATCTCATAGTGCTATAATTAAAAGACAGCAACATGTAGCTTTCGTTATCTATCACAAACAAAGAAAAAGAGACAAATTTTTTTATAGTTTCATAAAACTCAAAAAGAGATTATTTTATTTTATAATTTCATATAATATGTTAAATAATAAATAAAAATAACAAAAAATTTTTATCAAGTTAAAGTGATGTGCAAGTAGTTTAATGAGAAACGGAAGTTAACGATTGACTTAAAAGCTTATGTATAAAGGGGTCTTGGATAATATGTAAGCATTATATTGAAGGGATAGTTGGAACTACTTGACGAACGAAGCAATTTTCAACGACGAATAGCGACATGACGACGCGTTATATTAATGGTGGTCATGCTTTCTTCTATCTCTCTCACTCTCTTTCTATCTTTCAATGAATTTTCTATTTATTCTAACAAATAAGATTACCCTGTTTTTCAGAATAATTTTATGAATAAAAAATAGCTTAAATTTATAAAAAATTATAGATTTATTACTTACGTGCTATCACTCCACATGTGATAAGAAGAATATAAAATATTGACTTAATTAACATTATAAGGGATATTTAATTAACAATCCCTTGGTAATATTAACAACACACGAAACTTTTTCACTCATATATATCTATATATATTTATATATATATATATTTATTTATTTTTTCTCAATTATTTTGTTTAGTTATTTTTTGGTTATATTGTTTAAGGTTATTTACACTTGTATTTATGACCACTCTGTTTCAATAACTTCAACGACTTATTCGTATCATTCAATGAATAATTGATTGATTTAAAACAATGAAATGGTTGAATAACTTGCGTCGTGACGTGACGACGATTCGCAACAAGTTTTGACAGATAAATGCTATAATAGTGGATAACGCAAGCGCGCTCAATCATCTGTTATTAAACGACCATTTGCAAAAAAAAAGTTTTCAATCCTTCGAGAACCCACACAGATGGCGCTTGATGAGACTGAAAAGTTCAAGCGCGGGAATTTGAACTGCATTTGTATTGCTATAATAACAATTCACTTATTATTCAACAGTGAATAGTTAATTTAAACTATTTTTGACCCATGATGAAAATAAATAGATTAATTTATTAAAAATTATAGAAATAAATTAATGAAATGGAATAATTAGAATAGAACAAATTAGTTGTAATAACAAATATAATATTTTGAAATAATATGTACATAACTTTCTTAAACTAATGAATTATCATTGGAATATTAGAAATCATAGTTGAACTATTATTTTAATATAATGGAAAACTTTAACAATAAAATCTTATAATAATTATATTTTAATCTGCATTATTAACCAATAATAGTATTTTTATTCGATTTAAAATTCATTTTTTCTTTTCATTTATTTTTTTAATAAAAATAAAATACATATTGTCTTGTTATATTTTAGTAAAATTTTAAAAATTGATTAGCTGATTCTACTATAAGACTAAAAAAATATTTACTATTTTACTGTCATGGTATGAAAATTTTCAAATGGTAGGCTTATCATATTGATTTTTAAATTAATAAAATAGTATTTAAAAGGCACAATATGCAAAATTTCTAAAATCAAAAAATGCCGAGTATGAGCTTAAATTTAAATATATGGTACATACTAATTTTGGTTTAAAAGAATGATTGAAATATTAAATATCTCAACTATTCAGTTTATCCTGAATGTTTATAAAAATATTCTCAATTACTTATCAAACAATTTTTTTTTCAATGTTGACAATTACATTATAATTATAAATCTTCTGCATTTTATTGAATCTCCATCAATTCCGAAGTGGATCTAAACTTTCTAATGAAAAATCATCAGTTCCCATTGAAAGTCCTCGACTAAATCCATCCTATAAAAATGGAATAATTTTTAAGAAAAACAATCTCTTAAATTATTTCGATAAATTCGTCTCAATTTACCTTCATTTCTAGTATCTTTTTATCCAACAATCCAATGGCATTTTCAAGTTCTTGTTGACTCGGACTAGACACTGAAAGTGTCGCAAACTCTCCCATTTCAAATGGATCATCATTAAAATCATTAGAGCTTGCTGGTGCTGGAGGATTAAAGGGGACACTTCCAAATAAATCTTCTTTCACTCCATTCTGTCGTCTAGAATCTTTCGCCTTGGGCGGTGGTGCAACTGCAAAATAATAACAATTTTTTATAATTTATAGAAAATATCAATTGAAAAATTTCTTGAAACTTACGAAGTGGTGGAGTTGGACTATTTCCATTAATGGAATTAAGAGGACTACTAAGTTGTCCATTAGAAATAGAATTAGAATGACTGTCAAAACCATTAGCAGCAGTTTCATAAGCTCGAGGATTGAAATCTTCTTCAAACTCTTCCATGAGCAAACCTTCAAGCTTCGTACCAACTATTGGAGCTGTAGTTGATTCGTTAGTAATAAAATCATCATCAAAGGTTTTATCAAAATTCCTAGGAGGAACTGGAGGTGGTTGCGTTGTATCACTAGATGAGTTTCCATTGGAATCATTCTTAATTGATAGTTGACTATTACCATTAAGTCGAGAGTTTTCTTTCGAATTTGAATCAGTGTTTGTTGGCACATGAAGAATATCAGGAAGATTGTGATGTACCAAATAAGATTGTACATCTACCTATAGGTTCAAAAATAATTTATTTATCTTTGGTAAATAAACCAATTATTAAATCATCAAATAAGTTGACTTACCGATCCTTTTATAGCACAAATATCCTGTAATCGTTGCCGGTATGTATTATTTTCATGCTCTAACCGGCGTATTTTTTGTTGAAGTAACATACATCTTCTTTGTGTTTCTAAATCTTTCCCTGAAGTTTCAAGAAATCTTCTGTAAGCCAAACTAAAAGCTTGGCCAATAGTCAATGTTATTTCTTCAGCTCGTTTATCGCTAACGAATACAAAGCATGTGTGTCGATCTGCATCTTCTTCTTTTGCAATAAAACTAAAGAATTTTTTTTCTCCTTTATCATCAGCACAGTAAGAAATTCTATGCAATGGATATTGATGCATAATTCGCTAGAAAAAAAAAATTCTTCTATGAATTCTTCTTTATGTACAAGTATAAATTATGTGCATATTTATAAATGTGATTAAAATCATTAGAAAAATACCTTCGGTGTAGTCTTCGTTTTAGGCTCTTGAATTGCTACACCATCAATACTGATTGTGAGTTCAACCTTGGGTATCTTTGTGCCCTCACTTTTACGCAGTTGCTGAGAAAACTTGAGCTTACATATTGCATCCTTGACGACTTCGATGCCTTTGGGTTGATCTACTTCAGTATTTCCTAAATACTATAATTAATTTTTTGATATTAAATTACTGGTTTAGAAAATATTCTTTCAGGGGAATAAACAATTTAATAAAAATATTCATATATTTTACGAGATAGTGTGAAAGAGATTCAATAAGTCACACTCCTTGAAACAGAGAAACATTACAGAGACACGTAGTAGTAAAGTGTCATGTAATTAAGTACAAGGTTATGAATTATTGAAAAAAGACATTCTCAGTACATTTCCAATTATTCATTAAATTACAATAAAAAATGTTAGTAAGTCATTTGACCGTATTTTAATGTTGACCGAATAATTTAATTATGAGAATGAGGACAGTAGTGCGACTGTCAGAAATTTTTAAATAATAATTATTATGTCTATAATGATAATTTTTCATACCTTGACTAGGTAAGCAATATGACCTTTTTGAAGGGCATCTGGTGGATGAATCCAGTCTTTATTTGTTCCTTAAAAAAAGTAATAATTTACTGTCAAATTGAATTTAAAAAAATACTATTGCTTATTTTCTAGAATATTTACCTCCATTTTTAGTTGGTTGATTTTTATTATTTGCTGAATTCTGCGCCCATTTTAGTAGTGTTGAATTTCTCATATTTATTGTAAATAAGTAATTTTTATCTAAAACAAATAGAAACCATAACTTGAAATTTTTTGATTATCATTTGTCAGTAAATAATTTGATAGTACTAGAGAAAGAATATAAAAATGGATAGTACGTCAATGATAGCAATTGAATAAAATTAAACAATTTATCACAATAAGATGTTTTAAAGTGACCGATAAAATATATTTATAGACGATATTAATAAATATAAATGAAGTTTATAAAGATTTTATTTAATAATTAATTAGATAATAATTTCGAAAACGTCTATTTTCTTATTAAGTTGAGAATAAATTGAAATTTATTGTCAACTTAATCTTTTTATATCACACACATGTGATGTTATGTAAAAAAATGTATTTGAAAGGATGAAGATATTGAAAAAGAATATTAAAGAATTAATGAAATATCTTTTTTCATATAAAAAATATGTTTTTTCAAATATTTCTTTAATTAGTCATCTAATATTTGTGTCTGAAACGACATCAAGAAAACAAATCAACCATCTGATATGTTGCAGACATTGGGAAACAAAGAGGTCGACGATGTGGGTCGGTTGTGTCGTGTGAATTGTAAACCGTTAACGAGTACACAACAAATACAAAACAAAGTACATCAATTATGAATAATATGTATGCATATATAATATTGTTAACGTCATTTTTCTTGATTAAAATAATAACGAGAGATTATTTAATTTTTTACAATTTAAAATTAAGAAATTAAATGTGAAATATGTGAATATTTATCATTTAATTCTACAATTCTCATTCTTTTTATAGAAAAAGTCGTCTCATGATTTAACCCGGAAATTCTCATACCGATCACGCACAACTCTTGGGAAATACTCACGTACATAATAAAAAAGAACAAATAAAATTTTTCGGTCATGCACCTTTCACAATACGAAATATAAAACTTATTCTTTGAACGTTAACAAAAAATACTGTATTTTTCTTATAATTGACACATGTGTCTTCATGTCTCAACAAAGAAATAAAATGAAAACTCTTCAACCATTTCAAAAATGACGTGGAAATATATAAAATGATATTAAATTCATTTTTTTTTTAATTCAAGTTTCTTAAAAAACAACTTCTTTGAATTAATTAAAAAGTCATCTTGATAACCTTGGAGCGTTGAAATTAATTTTAATTATATAAACATTTTATATGTTATCATGAGGCAATTGATACAATTCATTGATGAAATTCTGATTAAGCAAAGATATATAGCATGCAGAGAAGCATTAAAATCTACATAAATGAATGTTATAATGAACTCCAATAATTGGCTCGAGGATTGAAAACATACGCGATTTGAATGTGTAATTATCTAAAATGGACCTGAATCTGTAACGAATTACTTACGACCTAGTTACATTTTGAGACAAATAATGTTAAAGCTATGCATTCAAGACATTTTAAACTCTAGTATGAATCGACCAGCTTTCATGATCGTACCTCTTTCAACTTGACTTTAACGACTATTCACTCTGGCTTCATTTATTCGTATCAAAATGATTCATAAATTACTACTAATCGAATTAATGTTTAACCTCAACTGTTTATTCTTATATTTTCTAATTATTTATATCATGGATACAATTTAGTATTTATTTCCAATATAAATTCTCAATCATGCTCCAAAAATAAATGAGAACCTTTTTTCGTTATATACTTTAACGGTAAGTTACTGTGAATCACAATAAAAAACGGAATTAATGAAATATTAAAATAATTCTGGAAATGCTATTATTGATATTAATAATAAAAAATATTTTCTTTAATATTTATTAACTTCAAGGAAATTTATGTAATTGGGCAAAACATATTTTCCTTTCACAATCTTTATAAATATTAACTTTAATAGTCAATGATCCTCTACTTTAAAACAAAATAAAAGAATAATTATTATTTTTGCACACAAACTGTTACACTTACCGATAAAAAAATGATTAAGCTCAATGATAAAATGATTCTAAAGCACGCCCGAGACGGGCCCAATTTGCAATTTAACCTTGAAAGTAAACGTAAGTCAGTAAACCAATGGAATATTTTAAGAAGTAAACAAGAATTAAAAACTTATCTAAACTTTAAAAATAAAGGATAAATAATCAAAAAAAAAAGTACTAACACACAATAAATATTAACCAATTTATGAAGCAAAATTCAACTATTCGATACTTAGTATAATGTAGTACTCCACCATAAAGGCTTCTTGGAGACACTGAGAAAGTATTGAGAAAAGTAGGTTTTGTCTCCTAGAGTAGGGGAAATAAAAGGATAAATAACAATGTTTATAAAAGTAATTACAGGACATACTAATACTTGAAACTTTAGAATCAAGAGAAAAATAATTATTTTTAATTAATTAATTAGCAGAAGATTTTTGTTTTTTTTTCTCATTTTAAAAAATAATTTATATGTTTGGTGTTTTTTGTTGTTTGATATCGTAGAATGTAAAAGGAAAAATAAGAATTTAGAGAGAGAAAAAGAGAGTGAGAGAGTGAAGTGGAGGATGGTAGTACCAGTCACGGACGAGATCAGATTGCGGATTGTTACGACTACATACTATCCAATCTATCTGTCTTTTATATTATCTATTCATTCTTTTAACGTGCAACTTCAATATATACTCATAGAATACGCTATTTAGTTTTTTAAAATTCTTATAAGTACTGATTAACAAGATTTAATTATAACAAATTTATGCCTTGAAAAAGAATGACAATTTTTATTACTATATTGTGTCACTTTCAGATTTTAACTGCAAGATAAAAAAAATTAATTTGATTTGGAGATTTTGCGTAATTCCATTCTATTGTTTATAAAGTTCTATCATGTACATAATAATTCATAAATATCTTTTTCTTTTGAAAAAACTCATTAAATATGAGTAATCTTTTATATGAAAATTAGCAGCTCATTTGGGCCAATGTAATTAAACTTAAATAAATAACAATGAGAAACAAGGCAATTTCCACAATCCTCACTGTGCTATATTAAATGTAGACTTCCGGTTAAACTATCATAAAGCTAAGCGAAAGTATCAGAGAAAGTACATCAGTATGAATAATTCTTTTCAATGTTTACTTTTGTATTTCCTTTAAGCAAGTAGTAAAATAGATGAGAATAATTATGGTATTACTTTTTTAACCGGAAATGAGATTTTTTTGTGAGTTTTTTAATGGTCAAATAAGTTATATTTCTAGTAAAATATAAAAACGACTTTAAATGATAATATTAGCACACACGCCTACATACAAATCAGTGGGCGAATGTGAGTGATAAAATGAGAAAAAAATTCCAAACCCACCCACTATGATATAGATTAATATTACCATCTATTGTGTGAATAGTATTAAATAAGTTAAGTACTAACTTAATTAATAATTTCAACAATGACACGGAAGTATCGTTTGATATTTGTGATTCAATCTTTCTAATAATCATCAGTCGAAGGTTATACGGATGATTGTATATTATATTAAATAACAAATCTTCCACTTAATGCCAATTAACTTTATGCATATATATTAACAGATAAAACTATTTATTTATATTATGGAAATGATAGTAGTGTAGACTAGTGCAGAGCAATAGTAATTGATATTTATTTTCAAATAACGGAGTTTGATATTTAAAATAAAAAATTGTATGACATGTTCTTAATGCATAATGGATCTAACAGTGCAACATACGGCAGACGCCATTAATATCTTCCTATCATTGTGCACCAGGTGGTTAATAAATAAATTATTGCCTTAAATCATCAGATTGTTGAATAGAATTTTTCAATTGTTAAGTAAAAATGTTTATTAACAGTTTGTAAAAATTAATAATTTTATTTTGTATTATATATTTAAATTGAATGTCACGTGTATTAGTTAATTATTCATTCAAAGTTAAACAGAGTAATAAAAGTTAGAACAATTACTATGCGAATGAAACTATTACTTTTTAGACTATAATAATGTTATAAAGAAATTTTTTGTTATTCTTTTTTTAGAGTATTATTATTATTTGTTTGTTTGAAATTTTAAAATTCGTCAGAAATTATTGTTATTATAATAATGAAAAATTGACAATGAGTTCAGAAGTAAATGTAAACACAAAGACTGCTTTCAACTATATTTTACATTCGATTGTCGAGTGAAATTCCGAAATAGAAAGTTCCCATTTATATATAATTGTCTCTATAAATCATAAGTAATTCACTATCGAATTATCAATAAGATGTGATTAAAAAGATTTTTGTCTTTCAAGAATAAATTCAGAACAAAATAATTATTTTGATTTCACTTTTTAATTATTAATATTTTATTTTATTCTTTAATAATGAAAATACTCACCGATCACAATATCTATTTCTCGAATGTAAAACCCAAGCTTTTCTGCTTAATAATAAGTTATTTACCTGTAACAACACTTTTGTTCACGGATAATAGCTTAAATATGTTAAAAACTAAATTTTATTGTAACTTATAATGTTCAGTTGAGCGCAGTCGCAGAGACTGACAATGTTAGAATATAATCTACGATTCAGCAACCACGAAGAACGATAAGTAACCGAACTGAGTTGACAGTAAAAGCTGCCTAGATCTCTAGTTCTGATGGTTTTGTCGTTGTTGTAAATGTAAAATGACACGACTGGTTTTAAGATGAATGAATTCTTAAAATCTCCACAAGATTGCGCTTCATTTCACGATCTTGGAATTCTATACAACCTGTTGATTTTTTTTTTATAAATTTAATATAATTTCTACTTTATCAATTATCAATCTAACAATTTATTATCGACAGATGGTTAATATATTATTCTCTTTATCGACTGAGTTATTGATAAGAAAGATCTAAACAATTTTTTACATTGAAAATTATACAAAAAAAAATATTCAATCTATTAAAAATAAATAAAAAATAATATAATTATTTATCTTTTTTGAGTAAAATTTCTTTCATGAAATAAAAAAAATTATTATTGTGATTTTGACAGTTCGATAAACAAGTTTTCAATCAATAGACATTTTGGAGTAAAAGTAAATAATAATAAGAAAAATTTATTTATTATTTTATTTTTAAACTTATTATTTTTCGAATGACTCAAAATTTTTTTTACGATCGTAAAGATGTGATTGAAATTTATTTTATGTGTCACAGAATAGTACATTTCACTGGTTACAATATTTAATTATTTTCAAGATTCTTCAGCTTTTATAACGAAAAACGCGACAAAAATACAATTAAAAAAACACGTTGAAAACAAAGCCGTGTGGAAGCAAAAACAGAAAAAAATCTTTCTTTTTTTCCAAACAGACGCTTCGGTGGCTTGGTCTATACAAATCACATTTTAAATATTCAACTGTCCGTACCGAGGGTAACTTTGTGCTTTCGGAATGATTGAGACCATTTGTTTTTCCTCTTGACTGATTTTAATGAAATTTTTGTTTCTTCAATTTTTTCTATCTGTTCCATGTATCCATGTGATATACGTAGATAGATACGCTTTTTTATTTTTTATTATTATACACACAAATGTCAAAAAATTGAAGGAAAAAAGCTACTAAGAAGAAAATCTCAGCATATTATCCACGCTCCTACCTTGTAGATGATTCCATTTTATTGCGCTCATTTTCACGAATTAAAAACGAAGGCTGAATTAGAGATATAAAGAGCTAAAGTACGTTCTGCTATTTCAAACAGAATAAAAATATATAAATGTATTATTATAAGAAAAAAAAAATTTGAATAGAGTTATTCATTATGAATTAATTTTATTAGATAATTCAATTGCAGTAATAATTTTTTGCTACATTTTCTCTGTCAAAAAAATAATATACCATATTTATTTTTTCCCCTTCACATGTATCATAATTTCATTGACATAAGATAGATATTGATAACAACCTCTTCAGTATCACATCAAAGTGTTCCATCAGACATATGTCGATCTTATCATCATCGTTTTTTTTTGTTGATGTAGAAAATATCAAGTTAGTGCAAATTTAAACTACTCTATTTCACAGATTGAAAATGAATGATTGAAAATATTTTTTCTATATATTTGATGAAAAATGAAAAAAATAGGGGAATTATTTGAAGAGTAAAATGGAAAAAAAAAAGAAAACGATGAGAATGAAAAGACGACATTAAAATAATCCATCAGAATGAAAAATGCGAATAAAATTGATAGAATTCACCCTCCGAATTTTTTATATCTTTTTTAACTACATTTATATGAGGACATAATAAAATTAAAAAAAAGACATCTTGGTAATTGATCCAGGCAGACGAGTCGGATTATCATATTAACATACATTTTGTGAGTGAATAGACTGTGGCATATGTTGTAAGAAAGGGAGATCTAATAGGTTGTTGACAGTAGTACATATCTTCCGTAGATTATACGTGAAAATAGTCAGTGCAGTTACACTTGTGTAAGTCGTAGTTAATATTGGAGTTAGTATGGGGTAGCAGGTTGATCGTTTTGTCATGCGGGATTTCATGTTTTCACACCCCTTCTATCGTCTACTCTTTGTAATTGTTGAAGATACATAAATATCTGCTTGGTAACCCTTTTGAAATGTACCCTAACGATTAATTTACACTTGTTTATCCATTCGATTATCCCAATCCATGACACAACCCTCATCAACTGTTTATACATTGCTTTGCAATTTGAAAAGTCGATTGACATAGACGTGCAAGTATGTACGTACGTGTCACTTGACTATTTACTATATATATATATATATATATATACATACACAGATAAATCTTTTGCCAACGCCCATAAGATAAGAGGGTGGAAGCTCAAGTATCGACCCGTGAGTCCGCCATGTTTCAACTTCACCACTTTCTTCCTTCTTTCTATTTATCAACAATCGATTTTAAATTTTGTGTTTAAATATTGTTATTTAATAATATTTGATTTAAAATAAAATCTACATATCGGACAATTATCGAGTAAACGTATTTAATAATTTATAATCGAAGAAATAGCATAAAGAATTGAATGCTCTTTCAATATTTTATTATTTTTTCACTGTAAATTTTTAATTAATTTAATGAAAATATCTGTTATATTTTAATTTACCATTTATAATGAAAAATTTATAAATATTTAAATCTTTTTTTATTATAAATTTACTTTTTCTTTAAACATTATTATAACTGTTGTCAACAAAAAATTAATAATTAATTAAATAAATTAAGTTGAAAATTAGCAACACCTACTAAATATTTTCTACCGCATTTATGCAAATGTATTTGTGTATATGTATACATAATAGTCTAAACGCATGCGCAAAATTAATAAACCATCCCCACGTAGTGAGTACCAATTATGAACTCCTGAAGTGTAATTATAGACTTTATAACAAAATTTCATCCGTTAAATGTGTTGTACCTCTATTCTCCATAAATTATTTTTTTCATTTCCAACTCTACGATGATTAAAAAATAACAAAATTATCTTAGAGTACTTCCTCATAGTGATAATGTTTTCCATAATTATCATGTGTTTGGTAAATGTTAGCAGAGTTGATAAATATGATTTTATAAGTGACTCCAGGTGGTTTAGAATAATTTTTTAAATAATATTCCGGATGTGAGAGCAGACTGCAGCAGTGGTTGATGCGCCTGTTGCTCTGACTTCTCCTGATTTTGTCGGCAAGATCGTAAAGCTTTCACAGCCAAGTAGTTTGTTTGAGTACTTATAGCTCCAAGAGTCCACTTACATAAGTATATAACTTTATGCTAGAGGGATGAGATTCTTCAAGTATATATGTCACATCCAGATGTATTGCACTTTTAATTTTATGCAAGTTGCACATTATATGTATTTATTCGTTGCTTTACTTCCATTTAGTTTTTATCCCTGTTCTTCAGTTTAAGAATGTTGATGATGTCTTTTTTAAAAATATTTCACATAAGTTAGCTATATTGATAAGTAGTAGATTAAATGTCTGTCATTCAACCAAATCATAACATAATTTCATCAGTTACTCTACTAAATTTTAATTAATCCCGATCCTTATGTAATTCAATTATAAACTTGGCGAATATTATCAACTTCTTATCTTTCTCCAAAAACCATCAGTAGCTTCTTGCGTCTCGAGGGTATAAGCTTTATAATGGCTACCAAGAGAGAAGTAGCTGGCTTGCGATCAAGTTTATAGCTGAAAAAAACTGCAGACATATTATATATAAAAATTCTCATAAGCTAGAAATTAACTGTACTGATTTCTGAATGATATATAAATAGTAAAATATGTATAGAGTTTTGTAGCAATTACTTTTTTTGATAGTGAGAATATAAGTGCAAAAAATTAATGAAGATGAATTTATTGGATATTTCGCGACATATGTCATTAAATACTAGAAAAAAAAGAGATTATGATTGAACGAAATGAAGAAAGAAAAATGATAATAAAATGTTTGGGTCACATCCCGACGACATATGGAGATACTTGAGAATTTGAATACTTGGGATCCTCTCATGATCAATTTTTAGTATGTATCTATATGTCTTGTAAATTTTCAAGACAAATTCATTAATATTTTTCTAATTTATTAAACTATTTTAATTTTAATATAATTGTTTAAATAATTTTATTTTTGTTATAGTTATCTTTAAAAAAAAACTTCATTTAGGACCAAAAGATTTATTCCTCTCAGAAAAAAGATTAAATCACAAAGAAATTGGAAAATAAAAGAAAAATGATGTAGTTAACAATATAATGTAAAAAATGCTTTGTAAAAAAAAATACAGGTATTAAAAAAAATTATTGCACTTCCGCACGAATTTCCTAAAACATCTAAATCTCTAATTCTATGGTTGGTATTTTTTCATATTTTTATTACGCACATTTATTATTATGTTTATAATGCTATCCGTTGTAGAGCCCATCATTTGGAGAGATTTCTCTGCAAAATCGTGACCACCAACAAGGATTCTTTAATGAATTTTAGTTATAATTATGTTTTGCTTACGGAGGAATTAATATATTAATAATATTTTATTTTAAATAAGAATTTTATAACATGTAAATTATAATTTATGTATATATACTTCTTGAATAATGCCAAGAATTTTATTTTGTAAATTACGATGGAGTTTATTATTTTCTACTTGACACCCAAAATACCTGATTGTATTTCAGGTATAAATCGATTGCAGATGTGCAAACATATTTATCGTTATAATCTAGAAATATGGCTCATAAAAGAATTATAGAAATTGAAACTTTTGCTATAACCTATAGAACAATAGCAAATTTCTAGAAATAAAGGTTAATAAATAAATAACCTTGATTTAAGAAAATTTTTGTCAACTTACATACAATACAACTATAGTAATCATATTGCATTTCATTGAGACATGGGTGGTCAATAAATTTATTTGACTTACCTATTTGTGTTATGATTAAGTCATACCATTCCAATTATCCATTTTTACAAAATAATATTACTTGACTTTTCATTATGCCAAAAAGGAAAGGCAATCGGTCAGAACAAAGGAATTTTCAAGTACCACAATAATAAAATCTGACCCTCATTCTCATTTAATTAGTTTTGAAAGTTAAGCTGAGATAATGCACAATAGTGTAAAGACCAACCTCAGGGATACTTCAAATTTTTGGTGCAAGCATACGCCATTATTACCGAGATTATAATCCTATTGTATGTTTCACGAACATTCCAGCCCACTAATATTTCAAAAGTGTGAATTTATTTATTTATAGATTTTATGGAGTAATTTACTTATCCTATTATGAAAACAAACTTTTTAAAAGAAACAAATGAATGTTTATAACGAGTACTTTGATTCTTTTTGCAACACTAATTGCGATTAACAATAACAAAATAATTAGTTAGTTAAAAAAGACTTGTGATCTCAGTATTTAAAAATTATTAATTGATCAGTAAATCAGGTTGTTAATATTAAATAAAAAAAGAATAAAATATATTTGAGCTATAATCTTGAAGCAATATCAGTTGAATTGTCGTTAGAATCGTACCGACGGAATATGCTTTGAACTAGTGATGAAAATTGATGGGTAGTTTTGTTTTCAGTTAAGTTATGAAATATTTTAACTATCAAGTGACGTCATTTTTATGTCAATTACATGAAAAATATAAATAACTTTGCACACTCAGTGATGAATGAAATTGATTTAAATAAGCCAATTTTATGATAAGATGGGTAAAATTTATAAGAATAATAAAGAAGTATTTAACCACAGGGGATCAACAAAAACATAATTTGTAATTATTATAAAGAATTCAATACAAAATTTTCTAATTTTATTAAATAATAGTTTTACCTACTTTGTTAATCCTTCGATTTTGTCACATAAGAAAATAAATAGAGACAATTTCTATCAATAATTGATGTAATTTATGATTTATTTTAAACTCCTATTGATGACAAACTTAATTAGTTGAATATCAAGTAAATTTTTGCATTAGTGTGCATCAAAATGTACTGCACTGAGTGATTAGAAACAAACCTTAACCCTAAACCATAATTAAATATTGATATCTTAATAGAATTAACAGTATAATAATAGGATTAGATCCAATGTAGTTAACTTTAGATGAGGTCTTAAAATAATTTAGGTAAAAATGTACTTTATAAAGTGATTAAAGACTCATTATTGACTATTGATATCGTGATAAGATTGGTATTTACAATAATAACATTAGACTTTAATTGCTAAACATCAAATACTTTGCATTATTGAGTGTGAAAACATACCATACAGATCAATTAAATCTTCATTACCTCAGTTAAAAGAAAATTGCCACCAATAAAGACATATATTTAACTAAAATATTTACAAATCGTTAAATAAACACCTTAGATTTTTTGTCGAGATATTTTACAATGTTTGTAAATACTTAATTAAATAATTAGACATGAATGTTTGTATTTAGTTATTATACATACATACGAGCAAATATAATTCTAATTGACATTCGATGAAACCTAGATAATAAATAGATATTGATTTCGTGTAAGCTCTCTCCAATTCAACAACCCTTCTATCGCTTTGGTTTATCATAATTAAACACTTAATGAAATAATTGAATTAATTGTATCATTGTCGATCACATCTCCAAATGTATCGTTTCTATTTAAATTCTAACTAGTTTGCTAAATTATTCTCTAATTATACGTAAATAAACTATCTCGAAACTAACTCATACATTCAACTGCTAAATTTCTAAGTGTAAAACTTATGACAGTGTTGTGATGGTCAAGTAATAATGATTGAAGTAAAGTCCTGTTAGTGAATGAAAGAAAGTATGTTTGAATAGGATAATTGTTATACACAGGATTGGTTTTGAAATTTATACCTGTGATAGTAAACCTAAAGATAGACGATAAAATCAGGTAGTCTAATCTTCATTCAACTTTAGATTTTCCAACCTTATGAATGGAAAAACATTATACATAAGGTAAATATTGTAACAAACTAATTTGTAATTTAAAAACTGGACTTCCTACCATACTATGCAATTGTTTTTGTTTTGTTACATTGCAGCATCCGACGTATTCCTGAAAAGCTCTACGAATGGAATCATTCTTATTTATTCTTGTCATCTTTATGTTTGCATATTTATTATTTTAATGACTATGTGTACATTGTATATTGAGAAGTATTACCATATTTATTATCTACGGATCATAATAAAAATAATGTAAACAATGCTCACTGCAGATGTTTAGAAAATCATTTTTCTTTGAATTTTTTTAAACTTTATTGGTAGTACTTTAATGGTGAGATTAAGTAAATTTTTTTTCTTCTATTTTGTAACTCCTTAAGATTCTAGAAAAAAAGGGTAAAAGCTATAAAAGTAAAATCTTACCAATCCTTTACATTTAAAAGTTTACAAGTCTTAAGCTTTCAATTTACAAATAGATAAACTTTCCCTTAAACGAAAATCCTTTTTTTATATTTTTATTGCTACGTTCACACGTTATTGGAAAATTTTATCATTGTTCATCTTCATCCTTAATCTGTTTCATACAGAAAAAAATTCTTCGACTTAGTAATTTTGTCAATTTCCATAAAATCCTTGGCAATGTTTGATTAGGAATTTTTTTTATATTCAACTTAATCTGAACCTCACCAACTAGTATTTAGTTTTATGAAGAAAAAAAAATTTACTACTCAGGAAGAGCTCTCTCTCTCTCTCTCTTTCTCTCTTTGACACTGAAATAATTAAAAATGTTCCTCGTACATGTTAATGTATTGTCAGAACTTGGAAACATGTTTGCTGTCTAAAAAAAGTCATAAAATGTTACTTAACAGTGTTTGCTAACAATGAAAATATTTTTTAAACTGATTTTAGGTGGTCAACAGCAATATTTTTCTTTCTATGACTATAATACCAAAGTCAAACCAAAATTGGAGCAACGGTGAACTAAGTTTTGCGTCATATATCATACCTACATTTTTACGATTGATGATTTTTTATTGCGGACCTGTAGAAAACGGTACAGTTTTTTCTGAAAATGGGATCATTCTTTTTTGAGTGACTTTTTAACGCTTTTTTTTTTCTTTATCGTGTCCTTGACTATGTTTTAAAATAACGTTTCATCTCTCGTTATAAGTCTCGTAAAAACATCTAAAATAGAGCAAAAATTTTTTTGTACATATTTCACACAATAGTTTTTCTGCTCCATTTTTTTTATGATGTTATTTACAGCTACTTTGTGTTAAAACTTAAAAATTTTATCTACCTACCAATTGTAATGAAATGTTTTTGCGTCATCTGTAGTTTGCATATGCATCAAGAAAATTTATGGAATGAAACAATAGTTTTCCCGACCAATATATAACAATCATTTTTTTAAATTTATAACATTTAGGTTTCTAACTGTTCAAGTTTTCTCTTTGACAACGTGAAAATTTTTATACTCAGCGAAGAATCATTGCAAATAAATAATTTAACTTTTTATAATGTTAAACAATATAAAAAGAAAATAACGAGATGTAATTTAAGCCAAGAACTTGTAGGAAAGTATATTAAATTTCATTCGCAATGGCATTTTCTATTTCTTTTTCCTTGATTTCTTACAATCCAAATTTACACGTTCAAATTATCACGAATAAGCTCGCTCATCGGCTTTTCGATGCTTCAACACAGACAATTTACGAAAAAAAAAACGTGGATAAACTACGGTCGGTATAGGCGTGTCTTCAGGAACATTAACCAATCTAAATTTAAGTCGACTTTGCTACGACCAATGAGTTCCAGCTCGAACCAAAGCTCCCCACCACGGTATCCATAGTATACAAAGTGCTCCCCAACCCCCTGACTATTTAGTTACGAAATCTGAAGAAGACAACTAGTTTCGCTGGTCGAACCAGGACTATTTAGTTAGTGTGGTGAACGCTTAGAAGTTGAACTTGGAGCAGTTAAAGTGTGAATTATATTATAAGTATAATCAGTGAACCAAGTTTTTGGAACATACTCTAATCAAAATGCAAGGTTATCAGAAAAATTTTGAAGACCAACAACGCGAACAACAACAAAAAGAGGAAACAATTGTTGTGGATTTAGTGCCCCCGCAGTATCAATTAAGTCCTCCTAACAGTCCACAATTAAATATATCGATGCCAAATACACCGGATAAAGGTAAAAATCTTTACTTTTAGCAACTCATAATCTTGTTTTAAAACAAGTCTAAAAGTTCAATGATTTTAAAGTAATGGGAGCTATTAAGTAAAACTTTTTTCACGATAAAATTATTTATCGGTGTTTGGATGAACTCTTAAAAGATATGTAATAGTCAAGGTGACGGTAACATCAAAGTTGGACCTCCTTAGAATACCAGGTATACAGTATCTGTCGGCAGATCCGTTGCACTGTTGGAAATTTTCTTTCGTGAAGACGCTTCCATTACTTTCGATTCAGTGATTTGTTGTTGCAAGAATCAGTTTTTAACAATATTTTTATTTCAGAAATTTCATCTCCATCTAAAATGCAATTGCAACAGCAACAACAACAACAACAGCAAGCAGCAGCTTTAGCAAATATGGATCCAAATATTCGAAGATATAGAACTGCCTTTACTCGTGAACAATTATCTCGATTAGAAAAGGAATTTTTACGTGAAAATTACGTCAGTCGTCCAAGAAGGTGTGAACTTGCTTCCCAACTGCATTTACCAGAAGGCACTATTAAGGTTTGTAATTGTTTTAATTGTTAATTTCATCGCTTAGTATAGTTTGTTTGATCAGTGTTTATAGCCTTTCGGCCTTTAGTTTGATGCTGAATTCAATAAAGTAAATATTGTCTTCTTGTTTAACATTACTTAGAAGTGTTAATTGATTCAATTAGCAAATCTACCTTCATATGTGACACTAAATTCATGTTATTATTTCTTATGTATACAGGTCTGGTTTCAAAATCGCAGGATGAAGGACAAACGACAACGTATGGCTATGGTTTGGCCCTATGCTATGTATGCTGATCCAACAATTGCTGCAACACTTTTGGCTGCTGCTAATGCTACTTTACCTCAATCTCCATATCATGGAGCACCAGGAATGCCTGGTGGACACCTTGGTGTATCATCTCATTATCCAACTGCTGCAGCTTATGCTGCTTATGCTGCTAATGCAGTACGTTATAGTCCTTATCCACCAACGGGTGCCACACCTCCTGCCGGTGCATCAGCTCTTCATCGACCACATCCTCAGGCTGCTTCATATATACCACATCCACATCTTCTTCAACACCATCATTCACTTCCACCATTGCATTTAACTGGTCTTGGTGTTCCACCCGTCGCTACCGGCTTCGTTGGAACGCCCACGTCTCAAGCTCCAGCATCTACTTCAGCATATAGACCTGCGCACCTTCCAGAGTTGAGTCCAACACATTCAGATACTTCCAGCGATTGCGACTGCGCTGGATCTGTGCATCATCATCATGCCCACCACCTTATTAATCGGGAAAAGACTCCGCCTTTGAAGCTTCCCGCTAGCCTCAACCTTCCTGGTCTACCAACGGAAATTCAATCAATTCAAAATGCTTTTGAAACTAAAACTATTACTGGCTATCATCATGTTATTACACCCCCCGGTGTTCAATCAACAAAAATTGAAGCACCTAAACTATTTCAACCGTATAAAAGTGATATTTCGGAAAAAGCGTGAAAATAGTCATAATTAGTTTTATTATTATGTGAATAAAAATTGTATAATTATAATTGTAAATAGATAATTGTATATATATATCTATATATTTAAGGAGTGCCAAATTTTAAAGTTTCATAGTTCATAATTTTTTTTAATTTTCTTGAGTATTGTACATATATTATTGTTTATATATATAGTCGCGTTTTTTTTTAATGTCTCTATTTAAAACATTATTTTTAACTCGCAAATCGTAATTTTAAAAAAAAATTGTTTATTATATAGCCAGGAATAAACTAATCTTGGTTTTTCCTCAGGAAAATTCAAGTTTAACAAGATATTTATTCTGTAATTATTTGCATCAAATTTTCTACACTGAGAAAAAAATTTACTTCATACAAAAAACATTTCATTCGATCATTAGCATCGAAATTTTAAATAGTCGCAGTAAAATATTAATTCTAAATTATGAATATTTGATTGAAATCATTTTATTTACTCAAATGAATAAAATGTCATTTGTTTTCATACTTGTAACATTGAAAATTTGTTTTCAAACTTGTCGCAACATTGAAACAAATGATAAAATGTGTTTTTGATAACACTACTATTAGTCTAAATAAAATATTATCTTGAGAATATTCTAAGTTTCTTTTATCGATTGAATAAAAAATTCTTTCATTTAACGAAATTTTTTTCTCAGTCTATTATTGCTTTCTGTAGTATTTTATATTTTTCACAAAATTATACGTAAAAATCATTAACGACGATTTATTGATTCTCATAAAAATCTATAACAGAATGTTTAAGTGTTAGTAATTAAAATTAGCCTTTCAAAATATCTACTTATTGTCATAAAATCTTTTCAATTCACCTAAATAATTAATCGATCAATAAGCTATTTACTATTTACAAGTATTCTGGTTGGAAATATTTATAAAAACAACAATGAAGCAAAGTTAGAAAAGAGGGTGAGATTCCTGTATTCACCACTTGGTCAAGCCAACAGACATCAATTACTGCATTGTTATGCGTTTGAAAATTGTCAGGGATTACTTTCAACAATCTAGAGCGTTTAAATGTGTGGAGAAGTCAATAGATAGGGGAGAGAAAAGACAAATTTTCAAACTATTTTGAGGCAAACTATTGGTATACCAGCCAATTAAGTTGCTTTACTAGCTTATTCTACTACAGCTACACTATCAGGTCATTTTACAACCCATATAATATACTTTCCTCCTGCTCATCTCCTTTCTTTCTTACTTTCGCCGTTAACCCCTCGACAAAACTCTCCCCATTACTATTTCATAGTGTGCACGCGCGAGAACACGAGCCAGCCTCTGTCCCGGGAATAAGATTATTCTGGATAAACGCCTATATCGACTTTGCTACACCCCTATTGTTCTTCTTCACCTTTCACCCTCTTCTTCTCATACCCTACATTATTATATAGATAGTTATAAAATTATTTCCATTATAGGGAAATACTCTGACACTCAGTTGTTAAATATTTCTCATACTGATACGAAATAACAATTAATCAAATTTGATCAGATTTATATTGACTTGAAAAGGAAGACTAAGAGTGGATCAGTTCATAATATCTATTTATCAGCAGCAACAACCAAATACTAGAATTTAAAAATTATTAATTTTTGTTTCAATTTTTGAATCATAAAATTTTGTTGAATAATTTTGCAAAACATTTATTGTAGATATGAGATTCTTAGCCAAATAATAGTCATTAGTTAATACTTTAATACTTACTAAAATTTTTAAAGTATCTACTATCTTAATATATAGTAATGAAATTACTATAAAAAAAAACCATATAATATGTTTAATGTTTTATTTATAGCATTTTTCATGTGAACATATTGAATGTTTTTAAGACTTGAAATAAAGCTTTTTTATGTTTCATAATATATTAACATCTTGGATGTGATTCGTGATAATTATTATTTTAATAAAATATTCCTCAAATAATGTCTGAGAAAATGAATAAATAAATTAATTTACAAAAACCTAATTCTTGTTGAAATGTTCATTTCTACAACTACTTTCAATGAACTAAGTTTCATGATAAGAAATCTCAGAGTGCAACTACATAAATTTATGTTCTTTGTGATTAAATTTTATATTTTTGCAAATTAAGCTATCTATCTTTATATTATTCTGCATCAGAAGTTATTCCACAACTAGTTACAATTTTTATTTTTAATTTTTATAAATTACTGAGCAAGAAAGTAATAAATATATATTCTTTAAGATCTATACAAAATTGATTTTTAAAAAATTCTAAAACATATTCTATTCTTTATTAATAGCTACTTCTTTGATATGAACTCACTGAAAATTATTAATAATTATCTACTTAACATGTAATTATAAAAATAATCTTGAAAATGGTATTTCTCAAAAAAGATACTCATTCATTACAGATAATAGAGATAATTTGAAAATATTATGCCCAAGTTAAGTCCAAATATTTCGTTTTACTCTTGTAAATAACTGTTGACTGTAAAAAATGGAATTTTCAACAGCCAGAAAAATAAAAATGTTACTAGAGATGTAATGTTACAGTTACATAAGACGACTCCGTATAGGAAATTGTAGATGTTTGGAGCAAGAAATTGAAAAAAGGACTGTTGGCGTGACGAGAGGTACAATATTTAGGTGAAGGTAAAGCTGTGGCTAATTGAAAAGTCAAAACTTTAAAGAAAAGAAAAAGCTTAAAGTGTAAAATTCCTTGACGTTTAGATTATGTGTAGTGAAAGCGTGCAATAATAGACCTCCTGGAGTGCTTACATCTTGAGTATTGTGCTTTTAGAAGTAAGTTAAAATGGTTCTTCCTTCTGTTTGTCTGTAATATCCTTCACGTGCTACTGCTTTTAATTTGATTTACCATCACTGAAGCAGATTGTCGACAAAATTTCATCTGGAAAAATTAGGAAATAATACAATTTAAGCACGAAAATTGGTAGGAAAAAATAAAAATATCACATGAAAACAATTCTAAGACTTACTCTGCTTCAGAAATTTTTCTTAACTGTTTCTAATTTTCTTTTCTTCCAGAATGAGATGTAGATGCTTATATTTACAGCAGAGGAATTTAATGGTACCATGCTAAACCACTTTATAGTTAATATTTTTTTATTACGTTCATTTTCTGAGGTCGTTAAAAAAATTACAGCATGATGCAAACGAATTAATGTAAAAAGAAGAAGTCAATAAATTACGATTGATATCAAATCACCAATAAAATAACCTGTATCTTCACAAATCAATTTGGTACACATGCAAGTTACTATTGAATTAATCGGCCGTTTAATCTCATGTAGGACAATATTTCCCTCGTAAACGAAAGTCTGTATCAAATCACCCTCAATTCATCAATTTTCTATTATATCTGTACATGACCCTTCATGACAGAAAATTTCCCTATTCAAGCTTGTATATAAATATCATAAACTGATCAGTTGTATATAAAACATTCATGTGCCTATAAAATTCCCTACATCTTTCCAAGTAGATGTTAACGTTCAACTTTAATTTCCAATAACTAAGTGTATCTAATTGGAATGTTAGCAATGAAATGGCATCCATGCATAGACAATAAACTGTGAGAAATAGGCTTTTAGAAAAAGCCACGCTGTATAGTTTTTCTGAATCGTGAAAAACGTTTGGTTTCCCACTGACTGTCAGAGGTCTACCACAAATCTCGTCAACAAGGTAAACCACCTAAAACTGCACAAATATCTGGCCTTGGTCAAGAATATTATTCATTTCCAACTTCCTTATGATCGATCCTTAGGATACGCTTAAAAGTATTGGATACATGTGCAACCAACATTTCTATGACTATACTAGTTGGTATAGACGATCATAAATTTTCCATTTTTTTGTCTCTAATTTTACAAAAAAATGTTCAAAAATTCATGAGTTTATGTACACTTTTATAATACATTATTCATATAACTTTTTATTGACAGCTTAAAGTTTTTTTATTTTTTTTTTAAGAGATAATTTTTAGGTTTTCCTAATACACAAATTATTAGATGCAATTAAGTATTTTATTTTTAGGTAAAGCTTCGAAGTAACTATAAGTCTGAGAGAATATCAAAGATGTTCACATATGCAATGATACAAAAAATACTTTTATTCAAATATAAAGTAATAAAGTTTCAATGTTAAAAGCTTTCGATGAATAGTATTAATGTACTGTTTCTACTAAATTGAGCAGTTATGCATTTAATGATTCTTTTATTCAACATGAGTACTTTTTTTATTTAAAGTTTTTACTTATTTGAATAGTTTACTTACCATTCTATACAAATATATATTGAAAATAGTTTATAAACTATTTTCAATATTTCATTTTTAGATTTCACATGGATATAAATATTGTATGATGTGAAATGACTATCATCTTATCTTTCGGTTAACTCACAAGTAAATAAAACTTTTGGTTACCTTTCTGGTAATTTTTCGATTATAAATCTTATTGCTGGCCACAGTTTCAATTTTTCAAGCTGTCAATATTGCACGAAAATTAAAAAAAAAAAATTTTATGAGTAAATTATAATAACATTCTGTAAGTATCTTCTCTTTTCTTCAACTTTTTTTGAAAAGAAGAGCCTAAAAAAATTTTTATGACTAAAATATAATAAAATAATTGTAAAAAAATTCAATAATTTGGTGTGTGGGATAATTAAACCATAAAAAAATAAGTGTTGTCAAAAAATTAAAAGATTTTAGTTTAGATATGGAATCTGAGTAAAAAATTTTACGAAAACATTTCGGTAGAATGTTTGTACAAATTTTGCATTACTTCAGACTTGAATTTTTCAAAACCTGCAAATTTACGTGCATACTTCAACTTCTGTACCACACCGAAATTTTCTGTACTGCTTTGTTGCACAGACCAAATTCTATAGAAGTTTATGGAAGTTTGTATCGTGAGGACCCACCATTATGGTCCAAAAGGTCATAAGGTGTGAACGGTATTTATTCATTTTCTCCAAGTTGAAAGATCTGCTATAAATTTTCTCTGGTTTTATTTTGGCAGTCCATTCTACAACTATGAAATACGAAATTGTACATAGAACTAAAAGGACATTCAGGAACCTCTT